CCACAGACAATATATCAATATCTATCAACACATCTATACTGTACACATTAGACTTATCATCTTGGTCCCCTATATTTTATTCAGTTCTAGATGTTGCCAGACTGGATTGTGTTTAGAAGAGAGGAACCAAAATAAATGGCTTAGGAAGAACAACTTATGGTAAATGGTTGGAGGCAGTGGATACATTTAGTCTGGAAATGAGAAGTTTGAAAACATGGCAGTTGTCTTCAAGCATCTGAAAGGCTGTCATGTAGAAGACAAAGCAGAATTGTTCAGTGTTGTTATAGAACAGAGGAAGTTTAAATTACATGGAAATAGATTTTGGTTGGATGTCAGGAAAATTTTCCTAATTGTATGAGCATCTTTTGAGCAAACTGCCTTGGGAGATACTGGACTGTTCTTCAGTGATAGGTTTAAATAGAAACTGGATTGCCAACTGTCAGGAATGTTAAAGAAGTAGATTCCTGCTCTGGACTGCAGATTGCTGTAGATAAACCCTTTCCTTTTTCAAAAAAAAAAAAAGTAATTTTATTAAAGTACAAAAACTAATATAAATTTAAAAAAAGAAAAAATAGAAAGTGCAGAAAAGAAAAAATAGAAATAAACATAGAAGAAAACAAAAATACAGCAAAGAAAAAGAAAGAAAATATATAAAGAAATGACTTCCCCCTTCATCGCAAGTACAAACAATTTAAGTAAATTACCACCTTCTCTTAAAATACTAAAAATCTCTTCACATATCTTAAAGCCTCATTGTTTCAGTCCTGATCAGCAAAAGTCCATTAAGGGTCACCAAAGATAAAAAAATACCTATTTTTACTTTAATCAAATAAACCAACTTTATATTCCTTCCTTTTACTTTTAACAATCTTGATTTTTTCAGATAAAGTGCTAGAACTTGATATGTCTCTTTTGTAAATCCACTATAGGAAAATTATCCAGGCCACTCTCCTGGTTTGTTATTTCTATATCCATTTTAATTATTAAGACATCAGCAGAGTTTCATTTGTATGTCCAGCATAGCATCTTTTTACATATCATTCTTGTAGCCTGTCATTTTTAAATTCACTTTCAGATCATGCTCAATCTTGGCAGGTTAAATTTATTACTCTTTTATAATATCCTTTAAGCATAATCTATCTATAGAGGCAAACAGTCTTCAAATGAAACAAGCTCATTGTTCAAAAATATCCTTCAATCTTTATTCTGTATTAGTATGTCAAATGTATTTAACTTCTCTTTTAATTGCAATCTTTAGTTTCTTCTGATTCCTTCTAGTATCCAACCTTCAAAGTCTCATCCTATCATTTTTTCTAGAGAGAATTCAAAACAAAAGCATTTTTTTCCATAGGAAGATTTCTTTCAGTTAGTTCCAAAATCTTATTTAGAATCCATCTACACCTTGGTCTATTTGTAACTTGCCAAAATCAATCACACTTTTGCTGTTTTACTCCTCCTTCCCATTTTTTTTGGAGTTGAAAGCTTATTTAAAACTTACTTTGGTAAAGACTGTTTTCAGATTTGTCGATCCAAAGATTTCTAATATATAAATAGCTGTATAAATAGCTGTATATCAATATTAGTAAAACATAATCTAAATTAACAATAAATAGTATAGCCTTTGAGGTTTTCCTCCTGCAATGTACACTTGCATTTAGGGCTAAAATAGTATATCCAAATTACTGTATTCTCTTCCATAGAAACCCTACTCAACTAAATCATTTTGGGGAAAATAGAGCAATTGTCTAAAGTAGCAGTTTTGATCCTCTGACTTCTTTAAAGTTGGGTCTTTTCACTTCAAGTGATTTTTAAAAAGCAAATTTGATTAAATCATTAAGCTTTTGGTGTTTATTTCATACAGTCCATAGTGACATATTGTTTGTGTAGCTTTCAGATTGCATTGCTTGGTGTGGTGAGTTTTGGGGCATGAGTGAGATCTACATGCATGTACTCTATTGATGCCCTTCTGCAGTGTGCAGATGCCTTTGTGCAAATATATATGAACTTACATACCCAGCTACCATGCAGATCACAAATAGGTACTGCCTCAATCTAAGAAAATACAGAATTCTGAAAGCACATTTTACATGGACTTTTATCATGGAGATTAGATTAGATTAAATTAGATTAACAGAATTGGAAGGGACCTTGTAGGTCCAACCCCCCACCCAAGCAGGAGACCTTACACCATTTCTGAAAAATGGCAGTCCAATCTCCTCTTGAAAGCCTCCAGTGATGAAGCTCCCACAACTTCCGAAGGCAATTTGTTCCATTGGTTGATTGTTCTCACTGTCAGAAAATTTATCCTTATTTCTAGGTTGAATCTCTCCTTGATCAGTTGCCGTGCATTATTCCTTGTCTGGCCTTCAGGTGCCTTGGAAAATAGCTTGACCACTTCCTCTCTATGGCATATATATATACTGTATTTTTCGCCGTATAAAACACTTTGGACTATAAGACACACCTACCTTTTTTTGGGAGGAAAAAAAAATCTGCCTCTGCCTGTCCCTCCCAGCAATTTGCCTCCTTGAAACAAACAGCCAATAGCCAACAGCCTGTTTCATTTTCATTTTCATTTTCAGCACAGCCTGATTAGCACAAGAAAAAAAATCTGCCTCTGCCTTCCAGCAAATTGCCTCCTTGCTGCAAACAGCAAAGTGCCTGTTTCATTTTCATTTTCAGCACAGCCTGATTAGCACAAGCAGCTGATTGTTGGCTGGATAGGCCTTCCGACCATCAGCTGTTTCAGACTGCAGGGATTGCCATACCCTATTGCCGCCTCCCTGCGCCCCATTTTCGGACTTTGCGTGCTCATTTTGACCTCCACACACCCAATTTTCCACCCGTTCCATGCAATGGGGATTGGAATGGGTGGAAAATGGGGCACACGGAGGCCAAAAATGGGGTGCACGGAGGCCAAAAATGGGGCACGTGGAGGCGGCAATAGACAATGGCAATCCCTGCAGCCTGAAACAGCTGATGGTTGGGAGGCCAATGGTGTATAAGATGCACCCAAATTTTCACCCTCTTTTGGGGGGGGGGAAAGTGCATCTTATACTCCCAAAAATACGGTAACATATAAAATATAAGGCTTATTACATTTTCAGAATTACAACCTATGTATATCCAGCTAAATCTTTAACTGTACAGTCCATACAGATAAGAATATTGATTTGAACATCTCTTATAATTTATTTTCCGTTTCTGTTTTTCACATAGTATTGCTATTTACAGAATTCACATATGTACAGCATATAGAACATGATTTTGTTCTTTAACCATAAAATAAAATAATTACAGAATGTAATTCCACCCAAGCTCATGATATTTTATCTAATTCATATGAGTACAAGATTTAGGCATATGTACATGCCTATAAATTATGACAAAATTAATTCTACAATCTGTATGAAAATAAAATTGTCTGGGATAAATTTTCAGAGTTGTTATGATTGTTCTTTTAATCATAAACCAAGTATTCCATATTGTCACTAAGATTTGGACCAAATTATTACTTATTTGGACAGCAAATTTAATTTAATCTTTGAACATGCTAATATAATCCTAAATAAGGTATGTGCCAGTTATAGATTTAATAGACTTATCTGAAAGTCACATTGTTAATTTGGAATAATATAAATTGAAAACTGGCAGTTCTACTCACAGAGCCAGGATTTTAAAATGAACAGATTCATCTAACTTGAGCTGGTATATGATCACATTTTGCCAGCTGATGCTGCCAAAATAATGTAATATATTTTGGATATGCTAATAAAGACATTTCTGCTGTGGACATCTCTGGAGCTTTCAATACTAAGTTCTGCTTTTTATGCAAATGAAAATAACTTCTTGGCATCAGAGTTTCTTATATTTCTGATTTCTTTAAATATAATAATGCAATTACATCTAAGAAGCATGCAAATTATACTTGATATACCCCTAGGTTTTCATTTTAGAATCAAATTTTTATCACTCAAATAGTAATAGACATTTTCAACAAGTATAGAAAACTGCTACTGAAGATGGAGCTCTTACTGAATTGAACTCTCTTATGATTATTTATAAGTGGATAAACAGCTTGTCATATAAGGAGTATCTTAGTGCCATATTTGTGTTACTCAATTTCACAAATATTTAAATGTTTTATTTTATTTTTTAAATGTTTTATTTATAGTTTATGTTATATGTAAAACAGGAAACTTATCTTATTAAGATAAATACTTCAAATTAAATTTGTGATCTCAAAATACTGAGTCATAAATTCATATTATGCTTATTAGACGTGTGGGATTCATTCTTTGTGATACACCATGGAGTAGAAAAAGAACTCTGCCTGTTAAATTAATGTATTTCATGTGAAATTATTGAAGATATGTGACATATCTGTCTGCATTTTCTGACTTTATTATTCTTATTTGCTGCTTTTCCATTGCACCCTTTTCCCAATTTTCATGGGCTCATTGAGCAAGTACTTCTTACTCTAAATTAACATACCGTGTTTCCCTGAAAATAAGACCCTGTCTTATATTTTTTTGAACCCTGAAATAAGCACTTGGCCTTATTGCCATGCACTCAAAAGCCAGATTGGGTTTATCATCAGGGGATGTCCTATTTTGGGGGAAATAGGGTACAAGATATTTGTAAGAAATCTAGTTTTCATTTAGTCAAATGCCCAGTCATTTTGTAGGGAAGATGGGCGCATAAAAGTTTAATTTAATTTTAAAAATAAATAAAATATATTTAATCCATTTATTAAAATAAGTAAACAAATGCACATAGTCTCATTCCAAGTCTGTCCATTTCCAAAACAATAGACAGGTGGAAATTGTCCCTTCCACCCCAAGAGGGAGTTACTTCAAGCCCTCTACATAGAGCAGGCTGTCAAAAGAGGAGCACAAAATTGAACATTGCAGTATAAACAGAACTTGAAACAAAGCAGTCACTGAAATTATTTTGTAATGAGCTATTCAGCTTCTTCTTCTTCATAAATCAGAAATTATTCCATCTTGTACCTTTGTATTCTTCTATCTGTTCAATCTAGCTTGCCCAGGAGAAGGTTATATACAAGTTTTTCTTTGTTGTTCTGCCTTGACAGCAACGAATTAAATAAGTGAGAAAATATATGCATTATTAATAAATTGGTAAAATGAGTACCCAGAAGATTATATCTCTCACAACTATGCTGGTGTAGCTAACATTGCAAAGGTCAGAAGCAAGTGAAGTCGAGCAGTGTGCAGAATAATAATGCTAAACATGGACACTTAGATGACTCCTGTGCAGAGTTTCTAAGCTGGCTGATTCTGGAATGAGTAACCTTTGCTTAATAATGGCAACTCAGCAAAGATATGCATGGATGTAAGTTTTTTTAGTATTTATATATCCTCCTCTCTATATTGAGACATAAGTGTCTTAAGACATCCCTCCTGTCTGTAATTACTGTAGGGATAAGAGGCTTCTAGTGCACAGTCAGAGATGTAGAGAGCTCAGAATCTATTATGTGTTTGCTGACAGGCACCAAAACACAGAGGAACAAATTCTGGTCTATTTTGTTTACGTTCTTTTTTATACTTTTTCGTAGTAGCTCTATACGCTAGTAAATAGATTCAGAAGAGAACCTGAACATAATAAAATTGAGAAGTTTACAGAGTGGAATATTCTGAGAGTGTTTTTTTAAGTACGTACATGTCAGTGTGCTCGACTTGTAAAAAAAAATGATTGTACAAAAATATAAGAAAATTGTATGCTCAGTAATAACCTAACAATTGTAATATGTTCCCATATAATAACAAGTTTAATTTTTTTTATTCCAGTGTGGCTAACATAAATACCTCATCTATTTAATTTCAGATGGGAGATGAAAGAGAAAGAAACTCTGAAAGAAGAAGACAGAGCAATGCTAGAAGAATTACAAAAAAATTATCTCACACCACTTTCTCTTACTTCAGAAGATAAGGAATAACAGAGAACTTGATAAGAATATCTTATAGTTATTCATTCTTTTTGTCAAAGAAATAGATTTTTCTGAAAGATGGCATTGCAAAAAAAATACAACAACCCCAACTATATAATTTGTACATTTTCTATTTTATTGGCATTTTCTAGGGAACTGTTGCATCTTATATTTTATAAATGTGTTTTCTTGATTATTTTCTACTCATATTTTGTCACATAGGAGATGAGAAAAAGTTTTAACAATTGTTAATATAAAAGTAAATTATATATAGTGCACAGCATAATATACTAAAATCTGCAGTAGGATCCATACATACTTTAAATCTGTTATATGTACTGTTTTTGGAACATTTAGAAAGCATATCTTAAACATGAAGCCTTTCTTTCCTTGTCTCTTCTATGCTAACTCTTAGCTAAATAACACTATTATACGTTCTTTTCTGGATATTTTCTAGATAGCTGCATATGTATTAGAAGCAAAAGTAAAAATGATAGATGAATTGCTTTGCTTGATTTACTGGCATTACCATTATAGTAGTCCTTGTTTAGCGACTTCCTTGTTTAGCGACCATTCAGTTATAAGTGATAAAAGTAACTTTGTGATCAATCCTCACATTTACAACCTTCACTGATCTGTAAAGCAAAGGAAAGATGAAGTACAAACATAAACGCAGTTTCACTTAGCAACTGCTTCATTTAGCAACTAAATTGCTGATCCCACTTGTAGTTCCGAAACAAGGACTGCCAGCATAGTTACATTCACACATGTAACTTCTTTCTTTTTACATATAGTCCTCAACATACAACCATTCGTTTAAACTGTTCAAAGTTGCAACTGTACTGAAAAAGTTATTTCCAGCTGGTTTTCACTCTTATGACCATCGCAGTATCGCCATGGTCAGCTGATCAAAATTTGGTTGCTTGACAACCAGTTTGTATTTATAATGGTTGCAGCATCTCAGGGTCATGTGATCACCATTTGTGACCTTCCCAGCCAGCTTCTAACATGGAAAGTCAATGGGGATGGACAAATTCATTTAACAACCATGTGATTCACTTAACTGCAGTGATTCACTTAACAACTGTGATAAAAAAGGTGGTAAAGTTGACTATGACTCAATTATGATCCTAATTGTGGTCATAAATCGAGGACTACATCTTGTGTCTGTCTATGTGTATTTTTTTCTGTATTTTTTTTTAAAGAAAAACACAAAGGATAAAACTGAGAAGATAAAGTATCACAAACTTCCTTTTTGTCATATTGAAGTAATATGCATTTCAGACACTACAAGGATGTACATCTCATAATTGGAGGAAATTCCTGCTTATGGACTGTCTTTGTAGAAAGGTATCAGCTAGACACACCTTGGCTTTATTGAGAAAGAGATTTTATTTTTCTTCTCACGAGAAACTGACACTTTGGAATAATTCTTATTTGATAATGGCTACTATTGGCATTTAAGAGAATCATCACAATTGGCTACTAAATAACAATAATATTAAAACTATCAACACTCTACAAAAAATGAATATAATTTACATAGAAATGGCAGTTAAAACTCTATACTGCTCAGCCTTGATGTCCTTCTGACTTTAGAAACTGCAGAGATTTTAAAGTTATTGGAGATGGCCTTTATGGAACTCTAAGCCAATAAGTGATTATTAACATAAATTAAATATTTCAGATATATATTCAAATAATCTCCTGGAAATTTGGAATATCAAGTTGGAGTATCCTATACAACCAAATGAAAGGTTCCCAGTTTTAAAGAATACAGGTAGTCTTTGGTTAACAATGGCAATTGTGACAGGTTTCCATGACTAAGAAATACTATCATAAAGAGCGATGTCCCATGAGTATGCCACTTAGCAATGGAAATTGCAGCAGTTCTGTATAGGAACTGTAGCAGTATTTTAGCTTCAAAAAGTTTCAAAGCAGTTGGCACATACTATGGGTTTCTGGATAAAAAGACCAAAATCCTCCTGAAGTCTCTTGAGCATTGGGATATCAGACATAAAGGTATCAATTCTCTGAATCGGGAAGCACAAAACCCAAGTACTTAAAACAAGATTGTTGTTCTATTTTGTGCTATTTGAGAGTTGAACAGAATTTTTTTGAAGTCCCTCAGAAATTTCACACACATTCTTTTCTCAAGATTTATTTATAATGCATGTTCCCTACAGAAGTGAACCTGTGCTCCCACAGCTCTCTGAAGACTTTCCAGGTTGAGATAGTATGAAACAGGATGTGCACGAAGCAATATATACATCCATTAGCCAATTTGGGGGATGAAAGCTCCCCAATAAAAACCACTTAAAGCCATAAAAAAACATGATCTGTAGAAGATCACTTCTACAATTTGATGGGAGCAGGAGAAGGGGGCCTCTTTGAGTAACTGTTTTTAGTAACAAGGAGTGCCTTTGATTAATGTTTCTAGTTTTTTGAAGTAACACACAAAAATATGAAATTTTGATAGACTGGTCCAAACTGGCCAGAGACAAGAATTACTCAAAGAGTTGAACTTTAATCATCTGAAAACTCACACCTACTGAATGTGTAATTGGTTATTAACAAGATCATGCTAAGAATATTATGGAATGATATGAACTATATTTAAAGCAGGGTGGATAAAAATCAATGATTTTTTTTAAAAAATAAAAAAAATCAGATTTTTTTTATTTATTTATTTTTATTTGATTTATATGCCGCCCTTCTCCGGAGACTCAGGGCGGCTTACAATGTGTTAAGCAATAGCCTTCATACTTTTGTATATTTATACAAAGTCAGCTTATTGCCCCCACAAACTGGGTCCTCATTTCACCTACCTTAGAAAGGATGGAAGGCTGAGTCAACCTTGAGCCTTGGAGAGATTCGAACCAGCAGTAAATTGCAGGCAGCTGTGTTAATAACAGGGTGCGTAGACCACTGTACTATCAAGGCTCTTTTTAAATCGAATCTGATTTAAATCTGATTTTTTTTATTTAAATCTGATTTTTTTGATTTAAATCGGATTTTTTTAAATAAAATGCTTTTTGAGGAAAATATATTACCATCCAAAGGTTATTCCATCATGAAATAAAGATTAGTTTTTTTAATTATGTAGAATAAGGCTGTATATGTTTAATTTTTTTGGTAAATAAATTCCATTAATCCATTCACAATGTCATTCTCTTCCAGAGGTTTTTGTAAGATTATTGGGCAGTTTCTCTGCCTACAAGATATTATCACAGATGCTTGGTTTACTTTTGCAGTTCTCAAAATTGAATTTGACTCAGCAGAGATCACAGCAAAAATGTTATAACATGAACAGAGTTGAGAAAAAGACCTTAATCCTATTGTTCTACAAACCTATGAATACAGAATCAACCCCTTCAGTGCTAAGTTTCAAGAAGTTCAGTGAAGAGAATAGAAACAATATTTTTCTGATTGTTTGGAGTGGAATAGATCTGCACAAGAAGAAAGTGAAACTAAGTGTGAGGAGGAAGGGGCAAGCAGACAAGCAGTACAAAATGAAAGTGAAACTTTCTGAGCACAATACTGCACAGCCACAGACAGACAAGTCTTTGGATCTTTTTGTGTGTATGACCTGAGGTTTATCACATTCTTTCCTTGGAGGAAAAAATGGCAGCAGGCCGTAAAAGAGACCCAGTTTGGCAATATTTTAATGAAGTTCCTTTACCTATCGGTAAGGCAGGCATGTGTGCAAACTGCAAACACTGCAACAAAGAAATGCAAGGCCTGGTGGCCCAAATGAGGCAACATCATGAGAAGTGCTGTGATGAAGATGATCAAAGAAACACATTTGAACAGGCAGGATATTTAGGTTGGTAAACATTTTTATTGAATCATATTTCTAAAGACTGCCTTGAACTGTCATGTTTGAGCAAAATTATATTTCTTATTATTACTGCATGTTATTGTCATTTGGTACAGTTATGAAGAAAAGCAAATATTCCTTTTGCGGCAGTGCTGTGTACAATAAGCAGAAATTGTATAAACAATAAAATAACAGCATTGACTTTTTTGTTTAGGGGAATTCATGGATTCTGGAAACTATCCACCTTCAAGATCACCATCCTCCTGTTCTACAGTTTCAGAGTTATCCATCCAGGATAGTGCTTCATTAGCATCATCATCATCAGACACCCACAGCCACATATCACTATCACCTAAAAGAAAGAAAAAACCCTTCCCTCCTGGAACCACCATAGATAAGTTTGTGATAAAAACTAGCAGATTAGAAAAAGAGTTAATTGATGAAAAAATTGCCCAGTTTGTTTATGCAACGAACTCTTCTTTCCGTCTGACTGAGAACCCACATTTCATCAATATGGTTCAGTCACTGAGACCAGGATACAGTCCACCCAGCAGAGCAGATGTTGCAGGAAACTGCTGGATAAAGTGTATGACAGAGAAATGGAGCAATGTGCAACAGCTCTGGAGGGTAGAATTGTTAACCTAAGTATTGATGGGTGGAGTAATGTCCACAATGATCCTATTGTATGTGCTTGTATAACAACAGAAGAAGGGAAAGTCTTCCTTGCACAAACAATTGATACGTCAGGAAATGAACACACAGCAGAATACTTACAAGAAGTGGCAGTAAAAGCTATAATAACATGTGAACAAAAATTCAAATGTCTAGCAGTTTGGTCACAGACAATGCTGCAAATGTATCCAAGATGAGAAGAAATTTAGAAGAGCAGGAAGGGAATACGAAGCTAATAACATATGGTTGCAGTGCTCATTTGCTGCACCTCTTAGCCAAAGACTTAAGTGTTCGAGAAATAAAGACTAATGTTGTTGAAATTGCTAAATACTTCCGTAACAATCATTTTGCTGCAGCAGCTCTGAAAAGGATGGGTGGAACCAAGCTAACGCTCCCACAAGATGTTAGATGGAACTCTGTGGTGGACTGTTTTGAGCAGTATATCAAGAACTGGCCTATTCTGATGACAGTTTGTGAAGAAAATCGAGATAAAATAGATGGCACTGTCACAGCCAAAATCCTCAACATTGGGCTTAAGAGAAATGTTGAACATATGCTGAGCATCCTGAAACCCATCTCTGAAGCTTTAAACAAAATACAGAAAAATAGCTGTTTTATTGCTGATGCTGTTGAAATTTGGAAGGAACTGAGTGAACACTTAAAAACAGAACTACACATGGACAGAATTAAATTACAAGCATTAAAAAAACAAATGGGACAAGTACTGTCTCCAGCTCATTTTTTGGCAAATATTGTCAATATCCAGTATCAGGGTCAAAACTTAAGTGCTGAGGAAGAGGAGTTAGCTATGACATGGGTATCCAGCAATCATCCATCTGTAATGCCAACTATAATAAACTTCAAAGCTAAGGAGGAACCATTCAAGAAATATATGTTTGCTGAAGATATTTTAAAGAAAGTCACACCAGTGAACTGGTGGAAGTCACTTAAGTCACTGTTCAAGTAATGATTTCACTTTTAACAGCAGTAGCTTCTTCTGCAGGCGTTGAAAGAATATTCTCTTCCTTTGGATTCATTCATTCTAAATTGAGAAATCGTTTGGGACCCGATAAAGCAGGAAAGCTTGTTTTTCTTTTCCAGATTATGAACAAAGAAGATGAAGATGACGAGTGAACTACAGAGGACAGTATTTAAGTTTTTTATGTGTAGGCTGGGCTGACAGTCTACGTTTCTTAAAATATATATATTTTGTTTAGCCAAATTAGTTAACAAACATGGATGTTTGTTTAAGCAAATAACATATGCTGTAATGTTATTGTTTCAGTTGAATAAATCTATTTAAATTGTTATTATTAAGGTAATGATTATATTTCTCCTTCCTAAGTACAACAGAAAAGTTGTCCAAATATGAATGATTAACCTATTAAACTGGGGATAAAAAAACTAATATGAAAAGTTGTTATTCTAAAAATCTTCATCTACTTGCATATTAAAGTTATACCAGCAAGAATTAGTCTTTATGTAGAAAACTATGTTTTAAATCAAGCCTTACTGACTAGTGATTTAAACCGTGATTTAAAGTTACTGAACAAGCACATTATATTATTATTATTATTATTTTATTATTTATTTGATTTATATGCCGCCCTTCTCCGGAGACTTAGGGTGGCTTACAGTGCGTTAAGCAATAGCCTTCATACTTTTGTATATTTATACAAAGTCAGCTTATTGCCCCCACAAACTGGGTCCTCACTTTACCTACCTTAGAAAGGATGGAAGGCTGAGTCAACCTCGAGCCTGGTGGGATTCGATCTTACTTTAATTGCAGACAGCTGGTGTTAAATTACAGAGCTCTGTCTGTTGAGCTATTCAGGCTCCTATATCACAGATGTATCAAATTATGCTGACCAATGGATGAACACATTTCAAACCCAATATGTATGAGTAATACATAAAGTGATTTTTCCTTTAGAAGGGGCCTCTCATCTTGTATCCAGGGAGGATTTCTCTTTTACTTAAGCAAAAATAAATATTAATATACCTTTCCAGCTCAAATCCTATTTTGGCAAAGCCACACCAGGCTAAGGACCTTCAACAAATTTTCCTAGAAATATAGCCTCTTTGCAGCCTCTGTACTTAGATTATCAGATCTCCGGGTCAGATGGCAAAGTCATGTCTTCAGAATTGGGAAGGCCAGCATTATTTGGAACCAATCTGACTTCAGGGTGAATGATATGCCAAAGAGCAGGTGCAATGGCTCTTTGGGTCCCGTCTCCTGGGTCCTGTCACATGATATTGCTTTGTGGATAGGACCCACGTGTCCATCCAGAAGGGACGTGATTGGAGAGGGGCGGTCCCTCATATAACCCAGCTCGTGACATGTAGGGCTTTATAGATCATTACCAGTATCTTGAATTGAACCTGGAAGCAAACTGATAACCGAAATAACTTGCAGAGTAGAGGTGTAACATATGCTGATATACAGGCACATACAGTCAGGTCCAGAAATATTGGGACATCGACACAATTCTAACATCTTTGGCTCTATACACCACCACAATGGAGTTGGAATGAAACAAACACAATGTGCGTTAACTGCAAACTGTCAGCTTTAATTTGAGGGTATGTACATCCAACTCAGGTGAACGGTATAGGACCTACAGTAGTTTGCATATGTGCCTCCCACTTGTTAAGGGACCAAAAGTAATGGGACAAATAATAATCATAAATCAAACTTTCCCTTCTTAATACTTGGTTGCAAATCCTTTGCAGTCAATCACAGCCTGAAGTCTGGAACGCATAGACATCACCAGACGTTGGGTTTCATCCCTGGTGATGCTCTGTCAGGCCTCTACTGCAACTGTCTTCAGTTCCTGCTTGTTCTTGGGGCATTTTCCCTTCGGTTTTGTCTTCAGCAAGTGAAGTGTATGCTCAATGGGATTCAGGTCAGGTGATTGACTTGGCCATTGCATAACATTCCACTTCTGTCCTTTCAAAAACTCTTTGGTTGCTTTTGCAGTATGCTTTGGGTCATTGTCCATCTGCACTGTGAAGCGCTGTCCAATGAGTTCTGCAGCATTTGGCTGAATGTGAGCAGATAATATTGCCCGAAACACTTCAGAATTCATCCTGCTGCTTTTGTCAGCAGTCACATCATCAATAAATACAAGAGAACCAGTTCCATTGGCAGCCATACATGCCCACGCCATGACACTACCACCACCATGCTTCACTGATGAGGTGGTAGCTTAGGATCATGAGCAGTTCCTTTCCTTCTCCATACTCTTCTCTTACCATCACTCTGGTACAAGTTGATCTTGGTCCCATCTGTCCATAGGATCTTGTTCCAGAACTGTGAAGGCTTTGTTAGATGTTGTTTGGCAAACTCTAATCTGGCCTTCCTGTTTTTGACGCTCACCAATGGTTTACATCTTGTGGTGAACCCTCTGTATTCACTCTGGTGAAGTCTTCTCTTGATTGTTGACTTTGACACACATACACCTACCTCCTGGAGAGTGTTCTGGCCAACTGTTGTGAAGGGTGTTTTCTTCACCAGGGAAAGAATTCTTCGGTCATCCACCACACTTGTTTTCCATGGTCTCCCGGGTCTTTTGGTGTTGCTGAGCTCACTGGTGCATTCCTTCTTTTTGAGAATGTTTCAAACAGTTGTTTTGGCCACGCCTAATGTTCTTGCTATCTCTCTGATGGGTTTGTTTTGTTTCTTCAGCCTAATGATGGCTTGCTTCACTGATAGTGACAGCTCTTTGGATCTCATCTTGAGAGTTGACAGCAACAGATTCCAAATGCAAATAGCACACTTGAAATGAACTCTGGGCCTTTTATCTGCACATTGTAATTGGGGTAATGAGGGAATATCACACACATGGCCATGGAACAGCTGAGAAGCCAATTGTCCCATTACTTTTGGTCCCTTAACAAGTGGGAGGCACATATACAAACTGCTGTAAGTCCTACACCGTTCACCTGAGTTGGATGTACATACCCTCAAATTAAAGCTGACAGTCTGCAGTTAACGCACATTGTGTTTGTTTCATTCCAACTCCATTGTGGTGGTGTATAGAGCCAAAGATGTTAGAATTGTGTCGATGTCCCAATATTTCTGGACCTGACTGTATAACTGCTGATTTGACTATATTTTGTACCAGCTGAAATTTCTAGATGTTGGTCAAGGCAGAAGTGTAATATTTGTTACAGAAGTGTAGTATTTGTTACAGTAATCCATGTGGGAGGTGACCAGGGCATGAGTTACTGGTGTAGCAATGGATGCGACTGGTGCACAATCTGAAGTCGTGCAAAGGGCAAAGACTATCTAGCCACAACTGCCATCTGCTCATTTAGTTAAGAGTCCAGAAGACTCTGGATTGTGCACCTCACACAATGCCTACAAAGGACCTCACCCTGCAGTGAGATGTAGATGTTAAACAAGAGTGGAGAAAGAACATGTGGCATCACACAATGTGAAATAATACCTCAGAGCTCAGCATGTTTCATTCCTAGTTCATAATGAATTCACCGACAATCACTCAATCCGCTTGTCAGCTTCACTTGACACTGTATTGATTTGCAAGCGTTGACTATTCAATAAGCCACGGCTATGCAAAGCATGATTTTGGTTTAGCTAAGTCTTATCGGATCTGGGCTGCAAAAATGCGGCTGACAGCCAGACGGCAGTAAAAAAAAAAAAAAAACACCAAAAAACCCCCCCAGGACTTTCTTTGCCATTTCGCTGCCGCCTAGAGCCTGACCGCCTTTCTGCAAACCAGATGCCGCAATCCAAGATTTCGGACGCCGCGTGAACTCAGCCAAGAGGAAAGCACTTCCGATCCCCGATGCATCCGTTCTAGCGGTCAGTCACTTTTTTTTCCCCCCCTGGGATAACGAATGTAAAGATGAAGGTCTCATTCCGCACCTACAGAAAACACGCATAGCCTTCAGACACCACTCAGCCCCGGTCATCCAGAGCAGGGGTCTCCAACCGTGGCAACTTTAAGACTTGTGGACTTCAACTCCCAGAATTCCTCAGCCAGCTCTGCTGGCTGAGGAATTCTGGGAGTTGAAGTCCACAAGTCTTAAAGTTGCCACGGTTGGAGACCCCTGTTCCAGGGCAGGATGCTGCGCGGGAAGATCCGCGCAGGGCAGGTGGAGGGAGAGAACCGCGAGCAAGAGCGCGGAAAGCACGAACTTTCCGACGCCCCGGCTCGACTCCGTTCGCGTCACCGGAACCGGAACTGGGGTTCGACATTTTATTTTTTATTATTTTTTTGGGAAGAACGGAAGGGGCGGGATAAGCCAAAAGCCAAACAGTAAAGAGGAGAAGCGGCGGCGCGTCTCTCGGTAACAGTTTTGGCCCCGCCCCCTTTCCCGGAACTGCAGGTACGTGTAGCCGCTGCGCTTTGCTTTTTTGCGTACGGCGACGGCAGGCATGGCCCCTTTCCCCTCCGCTCGGGCAACGACAAGCCCTCCCGACCCCCCCTCCTCACCCCTCCTCCCTTCCTCAGGTGCGCGTGTTTCTGGTCTGCGTCCTTGGCCTTAAACGTGCCTGGGAAGCGGAGGGCTCCCCTACCGGCGCCATCGACGGGCACGGCTCGGCTGTGGTTACCTGCCACAGGAGGAGAGGAGGGGGAAGCCCCTGGGGCGGGGGGCCCCGTGTCCCTTTTTTGAGGGTGGGGCTGGGGAGGGGTCGCCTGTCACGAGCAGGAAGTAAAAGCGGGCGTTATCTTGGAGACTCGCGGGAACTGCTTGGCCTTCCCCCACTTGGCGGGGGCGCCTTTTCGAGATGCTTTTTCTGGGGTCTCTTGAGAGATCGAACCTGACCTCTCTCTCAGGTCCTTCCGAGGAGCGTCCCAAAATTAGGCACTTAAAAGAGACGACTGGGCTTGAAAAAAGGAAGGAAGAGAGAGAGAGAGAGAAAGGAAAGGAAGGAAGGAAGGAAGGAAAAGGAAGGAAGGAAAGAGAGAGAGAAGGAAGGAAGGAAAAAGAAAGAAAGAAAAAAGGAAGGAAGGAAAGAGAGAAGGAAGGAAGAAAGGAAGGAAGGAGAAAAAGAAAGAAAGAAAGAAAGAAAGAAAGAAAGAAAGAAAGAAAGAAAGAAAGAAAGAAAAGCTGCCTACCTGGATTGGGGTGTCTGATCAATTTTGCGGTACTCAATACAGGCATGCATTGTGTTTGAAGCCGAATTGGAGGTTTTAAAAGTGCCAGAATGATCTGGATTTCCTGCAGAATAAATAACACCTTGAGATCAGTCACTAAGAAGGTTCACCCACCTGGGTTTTTTTTAGCACTAGATCTCCCAAAGTTCCTGACCCAGAGGTCATCTTCGCCAACGTAAACTAATGGTGGTGTGATAAAATATTCTGTTCCTAATTCAACTTGCCAAATGGTAATAAAAAGTAGGTAATTATCTTCTGCACTAATATCAGTGCAGTTGCTATGGAAACCAGTTGTAATTCTTCAGGGTTCTAACAGATCTGTTTACCATTGTTTACTTAATCTAATAGTTGGGATTCACAAAAAATGCAGTCTGGTTGACTGACCCTATTCTAAAAGTAGGTTGTGCAAGTTGAGCTGTCCATTTTGTAAAAAAAACTATAGCTCTAAAGTGGAATGTAGGTTTGGATGCATCATTGATACCTACTGGATTATGCTGCTTTTCTTCAATATGCCAATAGAGAACAAAGAACATTCCATTCTATAATGCCACATAATCAATTTATCTAGTACATTTTTCTCCAGCCTGGCACCCTTCAAAGTTATTGGATTGTGTTCTTGTGAACCCAGACATTACTTTCAGCATCTGTGGTGATAACAGATCGTAAATTCACATTATTAACTTAACAACTGCAGTGATTCATTTAACAACTGTGTCAAGAAAGGTTGTAAAATGGGGCAAATTCACTTAATAACTGTCTCACTTAGCAACAACAATTTTGGGCTTATTTGGGGTCGTAAATCGAGGACTACCTGTATATGTGTTGTTGTAACAAGAGGACACAACAACGTAACAGCGTAAAATACAACAAAGCAAAATAAGGAAAAAGAATGCTGGTGTATAAATGTTAATACCTTTTCCTATGAGGCACTGGTAATATTAATCAGATATTGGGGAGAGGCTTTTATGTTTTTTTTTTTATAGTACAATATTAGTGTCAGGATGAATGTTTACATAACTATTCTGCAGTTTCATCGTTATTGCCATCTCTTTCAAGAAGCACATCAGATGTTCTAACTGTTCCATGGTCCCCAGAGAAAATAGGGAAAAGTCTGGTACACTGGTTCCCAGTTTATACCATTTTTTCCATTTTGAAAAAATAAAACTTTGCAAGATGGAGTTCTTGCAGTCTTTCTATTTTCTTATAGTGCCTCAAAGTACAAGGTGTAATGGAAAGTAACCCTACATAGATCCACATATAATTAGCAGGTGTGCATCTTTATTGATGTTTCAATTCCTTTGGATTGCCCACTGTGCATTGGGCAATTGCTAAAATGGTGGATCAATGGGTGTTCCTGTAAGGCAGTGTGTCATTTGCTTATTTCTATATTTTAATTTCCAAAAGTAACACACACTACTATCTTATTCTTCGGTTATTGTCATGTTTATTATACTGTAAAATTAAATTCTGTAAAATTTCCAGAATTTGTACTTTTTTGGTTTTCTTTTTTATTATAATAACATTTTAAATAGGATTAATGTATCTGAAATGATATACACTTATACAGTGTTATGTGAAGTTTGCTTATTCACACATACCTTTTGCTTGTACAACTTCATTAAAATTGCTCTGAATAGTCAATTAGAAGTTACCACATTAACATTCTCTAATATACTTTTCCATCTTTAATACATTGTGAAATGCATAAACACTTCCCCAGTATCTATCTATCACTTGGTATTGATGTTTAAATGGTGTATCAAAGTGTAAGCAATTGTCAGCTTCCTTTTTTAGAATACATTCATTTAAAAGCAATTCATTTTTTACCTGCCTCAAGTCAAAATGTATTATTAATGTATAAAGAGCTTATTGGAAGTCTTTAACATAGATACCGTCATCGTTGGTTGTGATCTGACATATTATTTATATTGTTTAAATCCTAAAACTCTTAAACAGCTTCAAGACATTTTAATTCAAAATCTTATATACATTAAAACAACACTAATAAAATGAGAAAATAAGATCAATGTATTTTATAATCTCATAAAAACCAAGATATAAGCATACATAGCTACTGTTAAAGTATCATAAGTACAAATAACAATCTATGCATTTATAATTCAGATGAAACTTGTTAAAATTCAGTGTAACACAGAGCTAAAAGAAAAGTACTATATAATGAATTAGTGTTCCAGATTTTTATTATTAAAATTGTTGAAATGCACCTGTTTGCTACAAGAATCTTAATGTTTGATAGTACATAACAATGAAAAAATTTATTTTCATTCCTGAACATAATTAAAATTTCACACAGGGCAAGATTAAAAATGAACATTTATTATCCCTACTTAAAATGTGTTATCATAAAAGCTTGAACCCAATATTGAAAAAAATAGTTTCTGGCAAAAAAAAAAATGCCAAGTTTCTCGTAAAGATTTTGACTCTTCTAATGGTGACATGTTTTCAAATGCTTTTGAATTTATTTAATGTTAAACCATGAAATTTTATGCACCTTTTTATAGGTAGCCCTTCAGTTATCACAACAATTGGGACCTAGATTGCTGTTACTAAGCAATGTGGTTCTGAAGTGCAATGTGACCATATTGCTTAGCGATAGCAATCCCATCAGTCCCAGGTACCATCATAATGTCAGGACCATGGGGTTGTTAAGAGGAAAGAGCCAGTCTTTGGGAATGACCTTGGGAGATGGAGCAAAGAATGCTGTCTAGGAACAATCAGATAAGAGACAGCGTAGCCCACAACTGCATAATGGGCAGAGCAAGAGGCTTCCCTAATTTTTCACGCTGTTAAAGTGATGGTGGGAGGATTCTACTTTCAGACTTGCGAGATTCTATTAATGTAGCTTCAGAATAAAGTAGAATTAGCTTATCTGTTTGTGTTCCTCCCTGGTTTACCTTGTGAGGTTGCTAGTAGGAGTCCTAGGCTAGGAATGCAGGGTGGGGGCTGCTAAAGGTGATGCTAAGTGCAGGTAGACTAGTGAGGACTGCAGATGGGTGCTACAGAGTGAAGCTGGGCCAGCAAGGACTGTAGGTGGGTGCTGGAGAGCTGGCAAATTCTGTGGGTGGGTGGGTGCTGGTTCTCAAGAAGTATTGTAATCTAATTTGTTCTCTTTTTAACCTCCTTTATCCTTCATGTTGATAATTTTCTATTAGTATGAATGCATGTTGAATTTGGGGGAGGAAGAAGATACCGGTAATCTAGATGTACCAGGAAAAGATAGCTAGCATTTGAGAATAAACACTGCAGATGTGGATTTAAAAATGATTGAGAATCAAGCAGATTTAATCTGATATATCAGGAAAAGCGACTACAGAGACAGGCAAATTACAATGATGAGTAATTTTTTTTTGAAGTAGTAGGTTGTAGACTGTAAAAATAAGAAATTATATTGATGTGAGAAATATGGAAAGTGAGGTTGCAAAACTTGAAGCTGTTGTAATCCCAGTCATAGTAGACCCTCAAACTCTAGATATTAGATTACAGATTAACAATTATTTCTGTGTTACTTCTAGTATATTATATGATCATCATATTTGATTAAGAGATTCCTTAAAAATGAATTATTTTTGAATTATAAATTAAGAGCCGTGGTGGCACAGTATTTAGAATGCAGTACTGCAGGCCACTTCTACTGATTGCCGGCTGCCAGAAGTTTGGCAGTTTGAATCTCACTGGCTCAAGATTGATTCAGCCTTCCATTCTTCTGAGGTCAGTAAAATGAGGACCCAGATTATTGGGGGCAATATGCTGAATGTAAACCACAGAGAGGGCTGTGAAGCACTGTGAAGCAGTGCTATTGCTATTACCCTGTTTCCCCCAAAATAAGACATTCCCTGATAATAAGCCCAATCGGGCTTTTGAGTGCATGGCAATAAGGCCAAATACTTATTTCAAGGTTCAAAAAAATATAAGACAGGGTCTTATTTTCGGGGAAACACAGTATATGGTTAAGAAATGAAGACAGATGACCAAGGGCAGAGAATTTTGGGGAATGGGATAAAAATTCATGCTGACTGTTACTGATTTTATTGAAAAAACTGCCAAAAGCTTTGGCAAAGATGGAGAGCAAAGACAACTGAGTGTATTTGCAAAGCAAATTGGGAATGGAAAAGAAAGTGCAAAAGCACTTCTTAATTGTTGAATTATTGTTAGGGAGGATATCTAGGATTGTATACCTATGAGATATGTTTTAAGACAGATGTTGAAAATATTTTTTCTTGAGTCATATTATTTGTTTATTTAGCAACACTTCTAGCCCATTCCATTCCATTCTAGCACCCTTTTTCAGATAATATTGATTTTTTAAAAAACTCTTTCATTTCTGTAATGATTTTTTCTAGTCAGGATATTTCAGGGAAATAAATTTATCATTCTAATTTATAATTTTTTTTCAGCTTATCACCTCAAGATTGATGCATGTTTTCATCATTGCCTTAAGTTTGCTGAGAGTTTGGATAAACATGGCGCAACTCCAACAAGGAGGTCCTGATGAAAAAGAGAAGACTACAGCATTAAAGGGTACAAATTAATTTGGAACTTCTCCATAGGCACTTCGTAGACTGTGTTCTGATGAACTATAATTTTGTGGTTAGTAAAACAGGTGAGCAAGTGCAAATGATACAACCCACATTTCTTGGCTGCAATAAATCTCTTACATATATCCATAATCCAGAATTTTTTGTTCTTTACTTCCAAAAAAGATATATCAGCATGCAACAGGATTGCTGTTAGCTGTGATAGAGATGCCAGTTGGATCTCCTTGATGGCAAAAATCCTATTATGGAAAGAAAAATGCTACAATTTATGCATATTAGTCAACACACAGAAGGAACAAAGTAGTGTGGGGAAAAGCTTTAAAAAATAAACAAACATACCATAATGTTGCGAACATCTGGTGGGCTCCCCATGAGAGGTCCAGATTAGAGAATACACAGACACAGGTGTTTCTCGGGATGAGAGAGCCTTGAGCTGACTCCAGACCTCTCTTTTATTATACAAGGGTATAGGGCATATCAAAAGACATGATTACAGCTATACATTCTCATATTACATTCGTGATACGAAGGATTTTCTCCATATCTGGACATAACTTTCACATCCTACCATATTACAGTAAATCACATGAATTCTAGGAAAGCAATATTTAAGACAGAAACAAAACTTAACTCTTGCTATGTTATCATATTTGGCTTCGTTCCCAGCATCCCATCACCTGCCAACTGAGAGGCCCCGTTATCAGAGATTTACCTCAGTTGTCAGGAATGTTAGTTTAAAGGGATTGCTACACACTTTCTGTTCTACAATATTATGAACAAAGAGAGAACGAAGAGGGCCTTTCAATGATCATCTAACTGAACCCGCTTTTCCTACTTTCTTCCATAGCCAAGCTCCGCATATGTGTTCCAACCAGCCAAACTGGTCTACACATACACCATGGCTACCTTGTTCCCACACCGTAATTGTTTGGAAAAGTTGATACTGAATTTATGTATTATAATAATTTCAAAATTATTTCAGTGGAAGAACATACAAAATTCCACCATGGCAGCCTGGTTGAATTAGATTTCTCTCTCTTTCTCTCTTTCTATATTGGGAGGAATCGTTGCTTATTGGTTCACTTTTAGATTTCTATAACTTTTAATTTGATACAGTTTGGGATTTTAAATCCTAATCCCTGCTGAACTCTCCTCAACATGCCTATTTTTCTTCCTCTGAACATAAAATGGGATACTATATCCGATTTTATATGCTATTTTTAGTCTTCAGAAATAGAGTGCCATATAAACTGTTAATCAATGTATGCTATCCTGAATTATGTAGAAAACTGACAGGACACAAATATAATCAATATGCTCCTAGGAGGCAGTATTCACATGATAGCTTCAGATATTTTCACTCTGTAAGAGGCAGGGCAATTGAATCTCCTCACTCTTACCATGCTGTCTTCTTCTGCACTTCCCCTCAGTCAATTTAGGTGCAAGTTCTGCCTCATGTATTATTGTTATTATTGCAATGGATTTGCATGATTACTGCTTATCTTTGTTTTGGAGAGGGAGAGAAAGAGAGAGAGAGAGAGAGAGAGAGAATGAATCCATGTATGTATAAAATTGAAGTTAGGTGGTAAATATTTACATAGATTTGTTTGAATACCCTTCCAAGAATAATTCAAATGTGCTTAGTGGTTTACTCATTCAGGAAAACACATTTCTCATCTCCAAAAATACTGCGGGTGGCTTGCAAATTAAAAAGATAAGCATCACAATATGGAGGGGGGTATCATAGTTTTTGAAGGAGAGTATTCCATAAGGTTGGAATGGCCATAGAAAAAATCTGTGATTCTTTTCCTGGCCAGTAGGTGTATATTGAAAAAAAAAAACCAAACTCTCTTTCCTATGATAGCATTTCAAGAATTAGAAAACTATTATCATGTTTTCCCTTACCTTTCTTTGCTATCAGTTATTTTAACCCTTTTTCATAGAATTTATCTTCCATCCTCACATTCAAGAGCACACTTTGTTGCTCTTCACTGTTGATTCAGCCCAAGACTGCACTTGCTCCTTGGACAGGTACAGCACAGTGCTAACTCATCCTTAATCTGTTGAAATCCTTCTAACAAGTACTACTGAGAAGCCAGGTGCTGTCTGTTCTATACTCGTGCATTTTTTTAATCTAGTTGAGTGCAAAACTTCACAGTTCTCATGGTTGGATAGGATTTTGTTGAATAGGATACAATATTCAAGTCTATCAAGACCTTTTTGAACCCTGAGTGTGATGTGATCTCTGCAGATTTGCTGAATATCCCTCCTATTTCTTCATCTAAGTCATAAAAATGTTGAAGAGCAGTGGGCCCAAGATGAAACCTTTCCATGTACACATAAATCCATTAAGGAACATGTATTATGCATGATTGTTTAACCAACTGTGAATCCATCTGGTAATAGGACCATTATTCCATTTTATTAAGAGGCTGTGGCCTAATCCTATCTCAACCCTTACTGACGTTGTGAAGCTTAGGTGTATTATAGCCATAATAGTTTCTTGAGTTACTAATCTCATTACATTACTCCAAAGAGATTATTTATTTTTCATATTTCTGAACAGCCCAGAATTCTTTTCACAGGTCCTGCAACATATCTTCCCAGCCTCACCAGTTGAGATGGGCTAATGTAAGTCACAACCTTTGAAGCAAACTGGCATCCAATACTGGGTCATAGAGTAGAAGTGTTACAGGATCCCTTCTTAGGGTGCCTAAAATTGCCTGTGTGACCAGTTGAAGCTTGCAAGTACTTTTCAAGGTCCATGTAAAGTGCATTGCACTAGTCTAAATGGGAAATGACCAGGGTATGATTGACCAATGAGAGCCTACATATTCAGAAAAGGGCATTCAGCTGAAGTCTGTTGTTTCCCATCCAGGCAACTATAACCTCCAGGCACCATGAAAGAATGTCCACTGCATCACTTACATCACCAGGGACGGAGATATATAACTGGCTATCATCACCATACTGGTGATACTTCATCCCATAGTGATGGGTGATCTCATACAGAAGTTTCATGTAGATGTTAAAAAGGAGTGGAGAACATAGAACCCTGTGGCACCCCACAAAGCTGGGGCCAAGAACTGGATCTCCTTATTAACATTGATTGGGGCCAACCTCAAAGAAAGGAAGTGAACCAGCACATAACTGTGCCACCCATACCCAACTCCCTAAGTCAGCCCCAAAAATATCATGGTTGATGGTAATGAAAGAAGAGCATGGATGATGCACTACCTCCATCCTGCTCCTGTCAGAGATTATCCATGAGTGTGACCATTATTGTTTCAGTCCCATATCTGGGCCTGAAACCTGACTGATAAAGGTCCAGATAATCGATTTCTTACAGGATCTTCTGGAGTGGCAATGTCAGCATCTTCTCCACAACCTTCCCAAAAAATGGGAGATGGGAGAGTAGACAAAAATTATCCAGAATGGTAGGATTCAGCAACGGCTTCTTGAGAAGGGGACACAGCAACACCAAAGGAGCCGGAAAACTCTGTCTAACAAGGATGAATTCACCAACACTTGAACACATCCACAGGACACCTCAGGTCCAACAGAATCAAACCATTGCCAGATAACTGGGTAAATCTGCTCCCTGGGCATCTCCACAGTACTTGCATTGTGCTTCACATTCAACTGGGAATGAATCAGAGTGATTTTATCCTCCAGATGTATGGAAAATTCCTCCACAGGCCTCTGGGCTCATTTTCCTGAGAACTGTCTGGGTAACCCTAAACTGGGCCACTGGGTGGCATTCTGTGGATGCAGTAACAGTGGAGAAGAATTGTGATTTGTTGGACATGACCTATTGTTAACCAAACCAATCTGACTTCTAATAAATATGTTGTTGTTTTCAAGTACTTGCAATATTTTCTTGACACCCCCCCTCCCAAGCATTGATGTCAAGCTGATTGGTCTATAATTTCCTGGATCCACTCTTTTCTCTTTTTAAAAGATTGCAATAATGTTAGTTTTTATCTAGTTCTATGTTGTTTCTGCTGTACTCCAGAGTTCTCAATGATTACTGCCAGTGATTTTAAGATTACTTCAGGCACATTCTTTAGCACCCTGTGATCCAATACATCCAGCTCCAGCAACTTGAATGTATTCAAAGCACCAAGATGTTCTCCATTCCTTGCCTGTTTTGACCTGCATTTCCCTTGTCTCCCCACCCCCAATGCTGTATCTTGGGCCAGTTTTTCCTTTTGCAAAAATACAGATGCAAAAGATGATCTTAGTGTGTTGTCATTTATTTGAAGAATAAACTCTGGCTGGTCATGAGATTTGATAGAAATGAAACTAAATCAAGTCTCTGTAAAACTAATCATTCTAGTACTACCATAGTATATTTCTGGAAATTCCAGCATTTGTAAATATACCAGATTAAGTTTTTAAAGTTAGAAGGGCAATTCTTCTAAAGTAACCCAGTAGCCTCAAAAAATTGAATGTGGGTTGAAAAAGAAAATTGGGACATTTGAATTCGCAGCTTCAAAATCTTTTTCAGTGTCGGTAGCCTGAAGAAAAACATAACTGGATAGAACTCTGTAGGAACAATATATTGTCAATATTTTTATAGTTTTATTAAACTTAAATGTTTTATGTATATGGGAAGTTGCTGAATATGTTTATGATAAATTAGCAATTCTTTTAAAACAATTTTTGTTAAAAGTAATAACTTTGAGGTCTACAGAAAGACTATCTTCTTCCCCACCTTTTTTCCCCAGACTTGTTGTCTAGAATAGACTTGGATGAACTGATGAAAAAAGATGAACCACCTCTTGAGTTTCCTGATACTCTTGAAGGATTTGAATACACCTTTAATGAAAGTAAGTAATAGTTTCAGAAAAATATCACTTAGAAATAAATATTTTTCCATACCTTATTTTTATAGCTTGGTACTGATTATTCTTTTACAGATGTATCAAATAATTAGTACAAGCAATAATCTGAAATAAATTTTCCCTGGTTAGAAAAATACAGATATTCACATTCTTGCTATACATGAATAAAAAAAAGAATTGTAAATATACATGGGGGAGAAATCCAAACCTTTTTCCTTGAAATAACATTGTGAACTATACCTTAACAACTGATCCTAAAGATACTGCAGATTTTAGTTTAACAAGATACTAAAAATAAAAATATTAACTTCCTTTCACATATCGCCTTTTCCAATTTTATGGAGGATTTGTTAAAAATATAATCATATATATAGTACTTTGATTTGTCAATTACAATTAGATTGTCTTATGTTATCTAGAAATCCTATTAATGAAAGTCAGGGAGCCAAGTGAAGAAATAGAACTAAGATTACATATAAAGAAGTCCAAACTAATGACAGCAAGTTTAAAAACTACCCTACCCAACAATGTATTAGTACATAGTCTCTGGCTTTTAGATTCGGCTATTAATCATAAAGAAACCAGAAGAAAAGTGATAATTGCAGACCACTACTTGGTACGGTAGCAATAAAGGCTTTGGAAAAAATATACATATGTTGTGATTTGTTTCACCTACGAAGATCACAATCATGCAGTCAATGTTTTTCCTTGTGATATTATGGGGAAGCAAAAGATGAACTTTCAAGAAGCAGGAGAGAAAGAGTATTGACATTTTTGAAAGCTAATATTGGAGAAGGTACTTTAAAATTCCATAGATAATCAAGAAAATAAACAAATGGATCATAAGAAAGATCACTCTAGACTTCTTATATCACCATACAGTATTTGATACTCATGGTGCAAAGATCTAGCTGTCTTGAGAAGTTTCTAACTTTGGGAAAGGTGGAAAGAAAGAAGGAGAGGATGACCATCAACAAGATGGATGGACTCAATTACATCAGAAAATGGGTACATTGTTGGAAGACCTGAAGGGCCAGATTGGTGAAAGATGATCCTGAAGAATTTCTATTTCTAAGAATTTTGAAATTTCATCCTGAAGAATTTCATTAACAATAACTTCATGACACATAAGCAATTAAAAATATAATGCTTAGCTTTTCAGTAACCCAAAGAGTTTTATTGGAGAGTATTACAAAAAATCTTGCTTGTTAAGTTTTTAATTCTTTGAAACAAACAGTTCAACCATTTCAAGCAGTATTCTTCTGCCTCGTTCTAGGGCTTCTCATTTAATAATGCATATTAGCTTGCTCAAAGCTAGTAACACATAAATGTTAATGAACGATGTTGAAAGGTTAAAAGTTCAAACATCCTTACATTTGAAAGGCACTGCTATATTTTAAATAATTCTTTATTCTGTGTCATCCTATTGGGGCTGTTACTAGAATTTTCAATATCCTCACTCATGATTTTGTGATTTGGAGGGAATTTTATTCTGATTTACCAAAAAAAAATTTAGTAGATGATGTCTCGATGAAAATTAAGAGCACTTCAGAATATACTGCAATTCAAAATAGTGCTCTGATTTCCTTAGGGAGAAATAACTTCAGTATCCTGCTTTAAAAATAAACACAAAAATTGAGCAGGGATTTAAAAAAATAGATGTGCTAGAAGAAACAATAATTGGCATTAAGGAAGGGATATTGGAACTGGATGTGAAGTTGGAGTGGAACAAATTGATAATGAATAAAAAGGCTACTGTAGGAAAGAATACTTTTGCTTGATTAATATATTAAGAGGCAGAAATCCAAAGATAGCATAAAGTACACACTTCATACTAGAAATGATCTTTTCAAACAAAAGATCTTATTACCTATTTGTTTGTTTAGACAAAAATATTGAACTGTATACAACTCAGTAAAATTTCTATGAATGTAAATTTTTCTCTTATATTTATTTGTTTTCATCAATAATTATTATGCAAAATAAATCCATACTCTATGAAAAAGAATCACTACTTTTGTGTGTGAGAGAGACTCCTGGTGATCACCTGAACAAGTCATTGCAGTTTTCTTGGCAAGATTTTTGGAAATGGCTTTCCATTGCCTTCCTAAGGCTGGGAGAGAATGACTTACCCAAGGACACCTAACTAGTTTTGTATCTAAGGCAGGAGTAGAACCAGGGGTGAAATCCAGTAGGTTCTGACAGGTTCTGGAGAACTGGTAGCGGAAATTTTGAGTAGTTCAGAGAATCGGTAGCGGAAATTTTGAGTAGTTCGGAGAACAGGCAAATACCACCTCTGGCTGGTCCCAGAGTGGGGTGGGAATGGGGATTTTGCAGTATCCTTTCCCTGGAGTGGGGTGGAAATGAAGATTTTGCAGTATCCTTCCCCTGCCACACCCACCAAGCCACGTCCATAGAACCGGTAGTAAAAAAATTTGAATTTCACCACTGAATAGAATTTTAGTCTTCCAGTTTCTAGCTGGAACTGGTACCTTAGGTTCTGTATCAAACTGGCTCTTAGTTACTATAGCACAAACATGTTTCTCAGTATTTTAATGATCCCATATTTTAAGATTTCTCGAATTTGGTTCCACATTTGAATGAAGGATGTAATTTTAACTGTGATGTTTTTGTTTAGGTGTTTTGCATGTGTTTTGTTATCTTAAGTGGATATGAGAGAAAAATAATAACAAATCTACATTTACTAATTATTGAAAATATTATTGAGCATTGGAATATAATTAGTGATCCACAGTGTTTGAAATGACTGTTAACTCATTAATGAATTAATTTGAAAAATTAGAATGAATTCCTTAATTATCAAGTTTTATACATGGGTAAAATTTTATGAGCGCTACAGAATTGTTAACAATATTTTCCCCTTAAATTATTTTATTTATTGCACTTATTTATATATCACTCCCATCAGAGGATAGTTTAAAACCCATACCAAAACCCCCATAAAATCCAGTAAAACCTTTTTAACACTCCAATGATCCCGATTAAAATATTACCTAAAATGGCAGTCCAATATCACAATTATATTTCAAAAACTCATTCTTTTGACACTTTTATACAATGCCAAATGTAAAGGGAATGAAGAGAGAATCTAGTTTTAGTAATTTTATCTATTATGCACTCATAAATAAGTGCATATGTGTAGTATAAATAGAGAGTGACTAGTCCAAAGTCACCTAGCTGGCTTTCATGGCTAAGGTGAGACTTGAACTCAAAGTCTCACACTTTCTAGCCTGGTCTAAACTGAATCTCTTATGGAACTTAAGCTAACTACTTAAAATGAATATGTTTGTGTCATGAAGTATTATGTCTTTATAGTGAATTATCATTTTGAAAGTTGTGTTTTAAATTTAACACTACTATCTTTCTTTATAGAAGGGCAGTTAAGGCATATAAAAACTGGAGAGCCATTTGTTTTTAACTACCGAGAGGATTTACATAGATGGAACCAAAAACGCTATGAAGCTCTTGGAGAGGTATATATTATTTACAAAAATATAATAATGTATACAGTGTGCCTGTTTTATATTTGGCTAAATAAAGGAAAAAAATTTACTATTGTAATGATAGCAGAGTACTGATTAGCCTTAAGAGCAAGGAATAAATTTATCAGGAAATTACCTGTATTGCTTTAAGGGTGAACTAACCGTTCAGTGAGGTGTAAATGTATATGTCTTAACTATAAATATATATATATATATATCATTTTCTCTGTATTGTACAAAAACTTGCAGTTATTGTGTCAATATTTTTTGTTGCAAATTCAGGTATGAATAGGAGCAGGCAATTCCATCTATATTTATTTATTTGTTGTATAGTTTTTTTGTGTTGATTTTGAACTCGTTAATATTTTATCAATATCAAACAAATGCCAAATTCTTGTTAAATAATGTTTTAGGTTCTACTTTCATTTTGTTTTCTCATGTAAGTATTGATATATTTTGGGTAACTTGCAGTTTACTTTGTCATTTATATATTTAATTTATGAAAATCTGATTTTTAGTAAGATACTAACTTTATTTAAACCAGCATTTATACCAGATAATGTATTGACCTTGGTGACATTAACTTATAGTTTTAAAAGGTCTTAAAATTTCTATATTGAATTTTAAGCTTTTTCATTACTGTGATCATCAAGTTTTGTCTTGTGTACAGGTAGTCCTCACTTAACAATGTTAAGTGGGACTGGAATTTCTGTCATTAAGTGATACGGTCGTAAAATGCAATATCACATGACTGCCACATAGCAACAGAAATTCTGGAATTGCTGTAGTTAAGCAATTCATTGCTGAATGTTAAGCGAGGTTGTCACATAGTCACCATTTTGCAATCTCCTGCCAACTTTCCCAACTTTGCTTGTAGGAAGCTAACCAAGAAGATTGCAAATGGTGATCACATAACTGCAGGATTCTGCAATGTTGGAATTGGAAGCCAGTTACCAAGTGCCTGAGTTATGATCATATGGGAATACTGTGACAGCCTTTATTAGAGACCTAATTGAGTGTCACTCATTCAACGCCATTGTAATTTCATTTGGTGGTTGAATGAGCGGCCATTAAGTGAGAACCATCTGTAATGGATGATGCAAGAGAGACCATCAATTCTAGCATAGCTAGACATTCGTTAGTCTCTTATTCGTTGTTTAGAGGAGTGGCAGATTGAGCAATGATAGTATGCATTGATGTTAAAAATAACAAGTCTGATACTGAATGTAATTAATAAAAATTCAAAGTTTATGTTACCTTTTCTTTTGTTTTTGTGTTGAAAGTATGTGAGAAATAAAGAACCTCTGATGCCATCAGTTTAGTATGACAAAAAGACCATCTGCAAATGTGTCCATGTGGTCAGTCAGTCAAGATGGAAGGCTCTTCAAGGAGCTATGCCAGGTCTGCAAGAAGGAATGCCATTGGACCTTTCAATCAGCAGGCTCAGAAAGTAGTCATGGGAGAAATAAGAAGCCTCCTTCAGGCAGCAAGTTCCAGAATGTGTACAAACTCCCCCTCAAATCAAATCACACAGCCCTATTTTTCATTGGAGTAAAGTTTTCAAATAAAGCTGAAAATGTACCTTGTTTGAACATTAATATGGAAACTATAAATATCAATGAAAAAAGTTGGCTCTTGTCCTGCTGTTGATACAACTAAAACATAACAGGATATGTTATCTCGTTGTAGCTTCCATAAAAGTCTTTTTATGGAAGCGTTGTAGTTTCCATAAAAGATAATCGAGATGCTGAGAAATATTAAATTGAATCTTAACTATATTTGGGGAGAGAGGAAATAAAGGTTGGATGAACATAATCCAACAATTAAAGCATAAAAGTGATTTAAAAATGTAATAGAAGCATTAATTTTTGAAAATGCAGTGTTTCTCTCCTCCTATTAGGAAAAGTGCCAAGAATGAACAGATGGAGTTATCTTTTTCAGGAGAATGGACAGGATCCCTTTTATTCAAAGTACTTAATACTTTACTTTTTAAAAGATTCTTGTTTTTGACCAATTTGTTATTTATAGCAAATCTCTCACCTCAGGTACTGAACTTCTCATGGCATTGGCTGTGACTTGTTTACATCTTAGCAATATGGTAGGCTGCAAATGAGCTAAAAGGTTTTCAAACTACAGGTTTCAAACTACATTATAGATTATTCAGCATAATTTAGTACCATGCTAAAAAAATTAACAATTTAAATAAGGCACTCTTGCTGTAGCAGCAGCAGCTGAAGCCTCCATAGCTTTAGGAGTGCCTGGGAGCAGAGGCATCTGGCTGCAGATGGTACAGAACTAGTTGTGGAAGTGGGGGAATGAAAAATAAGAAGGGGGAGAAAAGTATTTGAATTAGGCTATTCTGAGCTCTTGTACAGTTCTTCCATTATTTGACATTATGTTCTGTTTTAAAGTTGAAAACAATATAAAGCTAAAAGTATAGAAAATAAAATCACATTCCCAGCTGGCAGTTGTAATCCTAACAGTGAATATTTTAAGAGATGTTCCTATCAGAGGAAGTATTGAATATGTTATATGTCAGTCTCAGAATTAAATGCTTGTTGATCATGTTTATTTTATCCACAAATGTTTACTTCCAGTTTTGTTGCCAATGAAAGATATAACATGAAATGTATTAGTTAAGTAAGATTTCTGGGAATTTTTATATTGGGATAACTGCTATTTTGGAGTTGCAGAGAAAATCTAGAAATGAATAAATAAAGGAGCTGGAACACAACCTAAGTCCCCCAAATCCCTAAACACACTGAAATTATTACTGAGAACCAATTATATTTAATCTGATTTCTTTTAACTTTACAAACAAATCAGGTAGGAGTCCAAACTCATGTTAGCAAAATAAAATTAGGAATGGACATTTCTCATTGTCCTAGAAAACATATCATTTGCATATAACAGAATTTTATACTTTGATCCCCTACTATGATCCTTTTAATATTTTTGAGTCCTGAGCAAAAATTTGAATGCAAATTGAAAGGGAGATAGTGAATATTTATCACAAAAACTCAGAAGAAATGACTCTGGGAGACATACATTAATTAATTAAAATGATGCATATATAAAATAATTATTAAAATATAAATATAAAACATTTATAAAAATGAACTATTGGAATGGTCATAGCATAACTTTAAAATGATAACACATAGTAATAATGCTTGATTTAGGTGTTAGATTTTTATACTTGATATAAAACAATTCAATTTTGAGAAAACTCATATTAACTTTTGCTTACTTTGAACATCTCCAAGAAACTATATTGAAAGCTTTCTTAATATTCAGAGAAATAAGATTCTCTGGATATTAAGATTCCAGATTCTGCCTATTTTAAGCAATTGTATCAAGCATCCAATAGTACTAGAACTTTTATGATTATATGTAAATGCAGCATTTCAGCATGCAAAGCAGTTATTAAAACATTTTATTCTATCAGCAAAAATGCTATTAATAGCTAAGCATTCATATTTATCAATTAAATGTATGGATAATTGATACCAATACTAACATCCTTACTTTACTTGGGATGAAAAATGTTTGCTTCATTAAGACCTGAGAGTTGATTTTAAAAAATCTTCAACTGAAATCTCCAATAGAAGATTAAAATCCAGTCTGCCTTGTTCCAGAGAACTAGAAAACTACTAGGACCAAGAGAATTTTAAACTTTCTTACAACTGATTGTAGAAACAATTCATTGAAGAGAAAGTAATAGAGATTGTGTGCAGCTCTAGGATAGCTGTAGAGAATGAATTTCATGTTTTGATAAAATATTTGAATTGTACAATTTGGAACAAAGATTTTTTTAAAAAAAACTATTGCTTGATTAATCTAAAGTTGGTATGTATTTTCCCATATATATTAGAAATTGAACATTACTTCTTGCTTAATTTATTTAAATCTCAGGAGATAGAATAGAATAGAATAACAGAGTTGGAAGGGACCTTGGAGGTCTTCTAGTCCAACCCCCTGCCCAGGCAGAAAACCCTGTACCATTTCAGACAAATGGTTGTCCAATCTCTTCTTAAAAACTTCCAGTGTTGGAGAATTCACATCTTTTGGTGGCAAGTTATTCCATTGGTTAATTGTTCTAATTGTCAGGCAATTTCTTCTCAGTTCTAGGTTGCTTATCTCCTTGATTAGTTTCCATCCATTGCTTTTTGTCCTGCCCTCAGGTGCTTTGGAGAATAGCTTGACTCCCTCTTCTTTGTTGCAACCCCTGAGATATCGGAAAACTGCTATCATGTCACCTCTAGTCCTTCTTTTCATTAAACTAGACATACCCAATTCCAGCAACCGTTCTTTATATGTTTTAACCTCCAGTCCCCTAATCATCTCTGTTGCTCTTCTATGCACTCTTTCTAGAGTCTCAACATCTTTTTTACAACATAGCGACCAAAACTGGATGCAGCATTCCAAGTGTGGCCTTACCAAGACATTATAAAGTGGTATTAATGTGATCTTGATTGTATTCCTCTGTTTATGCAGCTTAGAACTGTGTTGGTTTATTTGGCAGCTGTAGCACACTGCTGGTTCATATTTAAGTGCTTGTCCACTAGCACTCCAAGATCTCTCTCACAGTTACTACTATTGAGCGAGGTACCACCTATACTGTACCTATGCATTTGGTTTTTCTTGTCTAAATGTAGAACCTTACTTTTTTCACCATTGAATTTCATTTTGTTAGACAGCACCCAATGTTCAAGTCTGTCAAGATCCTTCTGAATCTTAAGCCTATCTTCTGGAGTGTTGGCTATTCCTGACAGCTTGATGTTGTCTGCAAATTTAATGAGTTTCCCATCTATCCCCTCATCCAAATCACTGATTATGATGTTGAAGAATACTGGGCCTAAAACGGGTACCTTGGGGTACCCCACTGCATACTTCCCTCCATTAGAAGCAGTTCCATTGAGGACTACTCATTGAGTGCAGTTGGTCAGTCAGTTACAAATCCATCCGGTGATGATGTTGTCTAACCCACACATTTTTCTATCTTACAGATACAGGACATGATTAAAGTGTTAATTCTTTAACTTTCTTCACTTGAACCTTAATTTTACAGTAAATGCCTTTGTTTTTTTCTATAGCAAAATAATGATGAAACAGATCTCTCATTTTAATAAAATTATTATTTTACAACAATTATATATTTAGTCAATTATAGTTACTAACATCACAAGAGTATAGTCTGAAATATTACATATCTTAATGTTAAATATGTTAATATGAAGTTTAAATGAAAAGTTTTATGCATGAAAAAGGGGACATGTATACTGGGAGCAATTATAATGCCAAATACCTGTTATAATATATTTGCATATATAATGTTGCAGAATTTATTTGTATATATCATCTTGAGACTTTTTTTTAGTCAATTTATATGGCTGCCTAATTCACAGACTATGACCGTCCAATAATTTATATTCCAAATGTTACAGATGTGGTTTATTCTGTGCCTATAATAGTTAAAAATAGTTAAGTTTTAATTTTTTTTAACTAAAAAATATTTAAAAATAAAAATATTTTGCTTCAAAAATTATGCATCTAGAATAGTTTGTACAATGTTGCCATATGAAGTATGCTGCGTCTGGCAGAGGTCCTATCATTGTTAATATGTTAAACTTTGGTTTAATAGCTGAAAACATGAATCAGTTCTGTGTTTGGAACAGAATAATTGCTTGGAAACAAGTTTAGTTAAAATGTATTTTATATTTGAATGTGAAAGGGGTTCAGAAAAAAAATGTAATGGTTAGATTTTAAAACAAAAACACATATTTTCCCATTGTTATTTTCTGTAGTTGTTTAAATGGTTAAGTTTAGTATCTTACAACCTGGAGGCTTTTGGTCTGTGTTTGTTTCAAGTCCCAGATTCTTATTTATATGTATTGTTAATCCATTTTGGGTTATGGTTTTCTCTTTGTGCTTTTGAGTCAGCCATGAGTTCTGATTATTAAATGGACAAGTCCCTGCAATTTTCTCAGCAACACTTTCAGAAGAAGTTTGCCCTTGTCTTCTTCCCTGGGTTCAGAGACAGTGACTGGCCCAAAGTCTCTCAGCTGCTTCTGTGCCTGAGACAGGACTAATATATCTTACAGATGAAGTGTAACAAGGGCTACTTGGGTTAAATATATTTCAAGTAGTACTCAGCCCATTGTAAAGTTCAGTTCTCCACAAGGTTTTCATTCTCCATTGAAAGAGTGTGACATCTGGAATGTCTTTGCATGAAAAATAATTAAAATATCTTTTCTGTTTCTTTATGGGATTCTTTTTTTATCTAGGCTTTCCTTCATTTGTCCCTTCTGCTACTCATTGTTCATGTGGGCCAAGATTTGGATATGCCACAATAAAAAGAAATTCTAAGAAATTGTTCTATGCTTATTGCATATTGTTTGAAATAGTTTTAAAAAATTAATCCAAGAGTTCTCTTTATGCCATTGACTAAGCATTAAATAGATACATTTTTTATCCTTAATAAAAAACAAAATTATTCACATAGCAGCAGGAAGCAAAATCCTAGATTATATATATTTCTGGACACATTTATTGAAGCTATAAGGCAGAAATTTTTGCTTCTTAACTAGAAGATTTAAAAAAAAATTACTTTGCAGAATGCATTGTATTTTTCTAAACAATAGCTTGATAAACCATTTGCAATTTTTTATAAAACTTTACAAAAAAAGACCTATTTGTAAATATTATACAACTTTTTTCTCTTGTAGATCATCACTAAATATGTATATGAATTATTGGAAGAAGAATGCCATTTGAAAAAAGTATATGTTCCAGTAAGTTAAATATATACAATTTTTTCTTACAATACATTAAGTTGTAAAAATGAATGTAAGGAAATAAATTTCATTATAACTTCCTTTGTGAGGGATTATAAAAACCCTATTTCTGAACAATAACATGAGAAATTGCTCATGTTAAAGAACTCATTTGGCTTGAATTTTTTCTCAATTTTTTGAACCTTGCTGAGAAATCTGTGGTTCATCCAAACTTGTATCTGCTTCTCTGTGATCAACATGATAGTTTGGTTTTGAGATCACTTGATTATCTCATTTTCTAAGGTAGGTGAAGCTTCATGATGGATACTGTTGCAAATTTTATGGCAGAAAAGGAAAGATGTTTTTGACAATACGACAATAGATTTTATGACTGAGCACATGTCTGATAGTTGTATAATTATTCCTTGATTTTTTAAAAAAAAATTAAACATTTTTAAAAATGAAATCATGACCATAACAATTTGTGCCTAGCATCAGGATTATTTAAAAGAAAAGTGAGGAGATTTATATCATGAAAATAAAAATTGCTAGACACACTCTCACCAAACTAGTTTAGTTTGTCAATAAAGTATGACTGTGTGCTACTACTATGACCTTTTTATAGCTATAATTTAGTGAAAGTTTCATTTGATATTTAAAGACAACTTGGCTTGAAGGAATGTTTCTAAATGTAATTAAGATTGAAGTTGTAAAGGCTGATTCTAAGCCTTGGTACATATTGACTAATTTGTTTGTACAGATAGATTAAATAAACATTTTGTAATGCATGGATCTTTACAATAAATATTTCTCTCATAGTTTTACGTTGGGCTCTCTAATTGGAATTTTTGTTATTACTAGTATGTAAAGCTATAAAGGTCAGTCTTAACTATCTGCAGAGGATAAGAGAAAGAGAAAGATCAGCTCATAAATCTCTAACACAGGGGTGTCAAACTCGTGTTGTCACAGCGGTGTCACATGACATATCGGGACTTTTTTCCCCTTCACTAAACCGGGTGTGGGCATGGCCAGCACGTGACGCATCCGGCCTGCGAGCTGCGAGTTTGACAGCCCTGCTCTAAAATGTGGTGGAGTGGAGAAAATGTATAAGTAAAAAACAAAATTGCTTTGAAAGTACAGATTTTTAAAACTAGCCAATTGCCAGCTACCTGATTATTTTAACTGTGGAAAGAAACACCACAAAAATATTCTTCCTCCATCATCTTCCCAGGAGAGAATAATATTGTTCATTGTGTATCTAATTTAAAGTAATACATTGATTCATGATTAAACAAACATGATCTAAAGCTGGCTTAATCCACAGCTAGTATTCTTTCTTGGTTCATCAAGTCAGCTAATTTGTAGTTGAAACATTTCACATATATTTATTATTTATTCACAAAAGGCTTATTGGATGGTAATGAGCTGGGTTGGTTTTACTGCCTTTTTATAGATTGCAATTACCAAAGAGTTACTCCATTACTTGGGAATCTGCAGCAAATTATCAATGTAGGTAAATACAGGTATAAAGATAGAGGTCCATTGGGGATATCTAGAGAAATGATATCCCCCCCCCCCCACCAACCCAGAGCTTTATATTGCTATTTCTAATAAATGGTTTAGCACACCATTTATTGTAGTAGTGACTTCTACTACTACATTTTATATTAAGCATGATCTGTAAACCTAGCCATTCTCTCAAGCTAACTTACCTCCAATATTCCATTTTGGGCTCTTTGAAGAAAGGATAATGTAGAAATCAAACAGCCAAATAAAAAGATGCCTACTGATAATGATGTATGGAAAATGATAGCTTTGGTCTGCTGTTTGCTATTGAGGATGGTGTGCTCTTTTTTTTTGGTCATAGGATAAGGCAGTAGTGGTTAGAAGTTTATTTTCTATATCAATCACAAATACAATCTGAATTGCTGGTTGCAGCCACTGTTTTCTTCCGGTAACTATTATGTGACCCTGTGTAATTGTTTATATTCACTAAATGTTCTCATTTTAGGTAGATGCAGAAGAGACCGAACCTAGGAGTTTCATCTTTATGAGTGAGGATGCACTGATAAATCCTGATAAACTGATGATTTTAATTCAAGGCAGTGGTGTTGTCAGAGCAGGACAGTGGGCAAGAAGGCTTATTATAAATGAAGATCTGGATAGCGGCACTCAGATTCCTTATATTAAAAGAGCTATAGAGGTAAGATAATTATGGGTTTTCCTGAAACAGAGGTGCACAACTCATGCCAAACTGTGTGTCATGCTTTGGTTTCCAATAATTATAATTTAGCCTAATTTTTTTTGTTAGTGAGACATTTGTTAAGTGAGTTTTGTCCCATTTTATGACCTTTCTTGCCACAGTTCTTAAGTGCATCACTGCAGTTGATAAGTTAGTAACCTGGTTGTTAAGTGAATATGGATTCTCCGTTGACTTTACTTGTCAGAAGATCGCACGCAAAAGGGGATCACATGACTTTGGGACAGAGCAATGGTCATAAATATGAACCAGTTGCCAAGCATCTGAATTTTGATCACATGATCATGGGGATGCTACAAAGGTGAATGGTCACTAAATGAACTGTTGTAAGGTGAGGACTACCTATACTGTATTGGAAGCCAATCTTCCCAAAATGCTAGAATCAAGAGAGAAATTAAATATTAATTTGGGGGGTTAGTGTACATGATTCTGGGTATGTATGTTGTCTTAATGCATATCAAATGTGTACTTATTGTTTTATTTTCAAGTCATGTATGCAATTTCTGTTGTGTTTCAGAATCTTTAAATGTATTGAAATTTGTTGTTACATGTATGATTTAAAACAGAGAAATTAATGATTTGTTAAATTGGATCTTTTTAAAAAGAAATCATTTTACTAGCTTAAAAGGTTTAACTTAGTTCTGCCTCAAATAAAAATGTTGTCTACCTATTATAAGAAGTTGATCTTAGAAGGCACTTAAGCTCCTATGGGTTTATAAAGAAATGCATTTAAATACAGTATGTTTCTATAAAGTATTCAAGTGAAACAAGTGGACTGTCAGATGCTTAATACTAAAATTTGCATTGCAGTGTTTTATAGTAATGTGTTGCTATTGATTTATGTAGGACAAAAATCAGTGATTGAATTTATAATACCCCATTACAAGGATTTTCTGATTAGTGGCAATTAAGTTTCTGATAAATCGATAATAAAACTTAATTTTCTTGACTTTTCTAAAAACCCGTCCTTTGCCACACTAGTATTAACAAAATCCAGCAATAAAATTAACAGAAAAATAACAAGGCAATGCAATACTTCTCATCAAGTAATAACAATAGCTAATTATTAGTATCTACAAAAAAATCAACCCATGCTGACCCAGTTCAACTCAAATCACTCAGAAAGAATAGGAGATAATAGGAGGAGATAGCCAGTAATAAGAGGCATGAAATTTAAGATTAGATTCCCTACATACCAAGATGGAAGATTAGGGATAGGAAAATAAAATTATATCCACCCCACCTATAGTGACTACCTCGGCTAGCAACCATTTGCAAGTACATAGGTAATAAAAAAAATCAACTAATGCATGCATTTATGACAAAATTCATACACCTGACAACAATGCATGCCAGAGTGAGAATAATTGTGGCATAGGTATATGAGAAAGCTTTATATGAATAAGACTACATCAAGCAGTGATCATTGCAGTCTCCCTCTCTCTCTTAATCACATGATCACTTAGCAACCCTTTTGCTTTACGACCTGGTCACTGCATTAGAACTTGATCGATAAGTAAGGATGGGTGTATAAAATATGTCTTTATGAGCAATAACTATTCCATAAGGAAAATTTGACAAGAACTGAAAATTCTAGAATTTAAATCTAACAAGCAAGAATACATTGCATTCGTCACTGTACCCATATATAATAGGATGGATTCTGTGGAATCTAAGGATTTTATGAGGACTTGAATAAATTCCATGGGACTGGAGGCAGAACATTGTGCAAGGGACTAAGGGAATAAAACCCACTTCTCTGTGCAAGAAATTAAGCTGCCTTTCCCCTTTAGCTCCTTGTGGAGAATTTTTATCTTCGTCACTAAGCTATAACAAAACAACAGGAATTGTTAGCTGACCTTTATTGTGATAAGTATTTAATTGTATGTATAGTAGTTCATATCAAATTCATTTACATAACAACATAGAAATGAATATACATGACCAAAGGTACAATTGAAAATCAGAAAAATTAAATACCCCATTTTAATTTGGGAGTTGCAATTTAGATAGAGTGAAATGCCATAAATATTTACTTTTTTGCTTATCATTTTCTCCAAAGTATCTAAGTAGAATTACAATAGGTATCCTTCTAAAGATACAACGATCTTGATCTTGAATTCATTTTAATATTTATTCTATTCCTTAAATTTTTACTTATTTGTATTTTCAGTCATCAGTTATCTCTGAGGCTAGGTGATATAGCTCATAGTTTACACATCTATTAACAAATATTTTTCTTGAAAAAAATATTCTCAAATGTATAAGGTTCTAGAAAATAAACAACCTTCATTTTTGCATATTTCTATAAAAACTTTTTTTGTTGATTGGCAATATATTAGATTCATTGCAGTCTATTGTATATCCAGTAAAATCTGTCATAGTACACAAGATTAGGTAAAGCATTTTGGTAATTATTAGTAAGACCCGACATATCATCTGTATAATAATAATAATGCACGTTCAGTTCAATCCACTAGTATACTTTGAATACAAAGCTTCCAGAATCAAATTAAAACAACAGCATGTAAAGAATCCTTGACAAGTTGTATGATACATCTTAACTTGTAGTTGATAATGTAATTTGTAAGAACTTGAGCAGAAGGAATAAAATCAAGAAATAATAGGAAATCCATTTTCTTTCTCACCATACGCTCCAGAAATTTAGTCTGTACATGTTAACACTTTTTGCATATCTAACCTAGCCATGACTGTCATTTCAAGATCTCAGGGTGAATTGCTGAAATATATGCTAATAATTTAATATTAGATTAGAGGCTTGGTATTTCTCATAAAATCAGATTGTGCAGAATATATTATTTATTTGATTTATTTGTATAATGCAAAGTCAATGATTCATGATACTTTACACTTGTAAAAAATATAAACTAAATCACAACATCAATACAAAATAAATACACTGCAGTAATACAGTATAGTAGTATTAACCTGCCTTGGATCACATAGCTGTCAAAGGACCTATGGAATAGTTCTGCCTTAGCAACCTTCATAAAACACACCAGAGTTGACACCAATCTGACTTCTGGGATAGGGGAACTATTATAAAAGAATATTTGCTCTAATTCTGTTTGTTCCTGTGTTTTTACCTCTGTGAAATCATTCATTTTACAACGGTCTTATTTTGCATATTTACACAGAATGTCCATATAGTATACACTGCTCAAAAAAATAAAGGGAACACAAGCAGAAGACATCCAAGATCTGAATGAATGAAATAGCCTTATTAAATACTTTATTCTTTACATGCTGTAGTTTATACACTGCTCAAACAACTAAAGGGAACACAAAACTACTGTATGTAATGAACGAAGTATTTACTAAGGCTATTTCATTCATTCAGATCTCGGATGTCTTCTGCTTGTGTTCCCTTTATTTTTTTGAGCAGTATAATTTGTCTTGAAATACTCTTCTATACACTTTTGGAGTTTTGGAGGCTTAAATTAATTTATAGTAATTGTTATATTAGTTGGCGGTAGGTAATCATTTTATGCATTGATAAATGGAGGAATATGGTCTTGTTCTTGTACACAAAGATTTTCTCTCTTTTCAACCCACACACATTCTCCATTTTTATTACGGACAGATTTTGAGGATATATGAATGTTGGGGGAGTGGGGAAGAGGGGTAATGAGACTAAGAAGGAGTTCCATTGCCAGAAAAACCTCTTTCATTTCAACTACCAAGATACAAATACTAAGGAAATAAATTTTATGAAATATGCAGAGCATTAAATGTCAATTTAATAAATACTTTTTTATCAGTGTCTGTGAAATTTAGATTGAATTAATGAATTTCCAAAAGACAGCTACATGGATATTTCTCACAATTGGATTTATGTTGAGAATTTGTCATAGTTTTGGGTATGCTTAGAAAAAGTGGCTCACAGAAAAGTAAGGAGAATAGTTAAATTCTCATTGACAGACTATGTGAAGCCACATTGCCCCCCAAGCCAGTAGAACAAAACAATGAGATGACAGCTCTAGTGTTTGAAGAGAGGTTGTTAATGACAGCTTATTCCTTTATGATTTCAACTCTTGACAGAAGACAGGTCTGCTTGTTGCATCACGGCAGATGTATCATTACCTCCTGGCCCTGTCATGACTGAATTGGAATAAAACCACTTGCAGTTCTGAAAATCCAATTACTTTGTGGAAGTTTGGGAACACTGTCTATGATTCATGTGCAAAGTAGCATAAGTCTCATTGCAGTAGCTGTACTTGAATTTTAATAGTGGTATAAAGTTTCAGATTTTGAAGATAATGGAAGTAAATACATTATGGTCTTTTCTCTATATATTAGTGAATTTGTTATAATGGGATGTGATTTGTAATATTGTTTTGTTAGTATTTCTGCAGAGTCTTGATGTTTTTAAAAGTATTTCTTCAGTTTTAATAACCCTCATGTTTAAATACAGAAAAAATATCCCTAGCAACTACTGATATTTTTTATCGTTTTAAGAATTAGGAGATATTTTCCTTAATTTATTTGGATATTAGAATTCTATATTATTAATACTTTGTAAGAGATTCCTCATAGTGATTCTGGATATTAAAAAGAGAGGGGGGATATATAGATTTATGTAGGTATATAAAAAGTCTTGTGATTTAGGTATGATTAGAATTTCAAGTAAGTGAGATCAGTTTAAATGCAGAGAAAGCAAGTATAAGGTGTTTAATTTCTATCATATTGTTCATGTTTAGTCACTCTGAAATCTTTTTCAAATCTGCTTTTCTCTCTAGCTTTGTCCTATCATATCCATGATTTGTGATCCTCCCACACTTTGTATTTTATTTTAACAGCTGGCCTCTTTTCTGCGCTACTTCTGCCTTTCATATCATCTGATGTGGCTTAAACTGATGAATCAAAGCCAGTTTGGGAAGGATATAAGGAGAGACAGTGTTTAAGATTGCAAAGGAAGTGAATAGGCAGAAGATAACCCTTCTTGCAGTTACAATCAATGTACTTGACACTTTCAAAGGCAAGAGAAACTATAATTTGCTCAGGGGTTAAACTTTCTAAATCAGTTCCCCAGGGAAATCTGCTAATAAGACGTAATAATTAATTGAACATTTTTATTAGCCTTGCCTAAAATGAAATAAGGTAGTCTTTTATTTATTAATCTTTACCCTTTTGTTTACATTCTTAATTTTTTTAAAAAATAGAAATCTTTCTGCTGTGTGAAGGTGTAATAAAATATTTGTTCTTTCTGTAATCGGTACTCATGCTTTTCATACACATGACAGAATGCATTGTCACTATATACAATGTATATTATTTTTTGCAACTTATTTTTTTTAATTTAATTTAATTTTAATTTTAATTTAAAAAATATATTATTTTTGCAAATTATTTTCTGCAACATTTAGCAAGATTTAAATGGATATTTGTACTGATAAATATTAAATACAATACGGAACATATAGAAAATACAAAAATGGGAAGGTAACCCATTCTGAAATATCTGCTTCTTTGTTTGAACATAAAGTCTATTGTTTCCTTTTACATTTGACATGAAGCGCATGGCTTTCAAATCTGAGAAACGGGTGAAATCCAGCAGGTTTTGACAGGTTTTGGAGAACCGGTAGCGGAAATTTTGAGTAGTTCGGAGAACCAGCAAATACTACCTCTGACTGACCCCAGAGTGGGGTGGGAATGGAGATTTTACAATATCCTTCCCCTGGAGTGGGGATGGAGACTTTGCAGTATCCTTTCCCTACCATGTCCACCAAGCCATGCCAACCAAGCCACACCACGCCTGCCAAGCCACGCCCCCAGAACCCGTAGTAAAAAAAATTGAATTTCACCACAGCTCAGAAATACATACATTCCTCAAAATAATACCTGAAATACACTAAATATGGATTACATCATGCAACAACTGGTTCAGTGTGAAAGAGTCCTGCCAATCTTTATTTCTTTTATATTGCACTTTTTAGAAACTGTAAAAAAAATTACTAATGTGGTTTGAAAGAGTAACCCTGTATCCTTCAGTAGATATGTAAGATGAATATTTCATAGATCCAGAATTGATTGCTTTATCTCTGATGTTTTAAAACAGTTAATAAGTATACACACGTTCATTGCCTTCCTGTCAAAAAGTACCCAGTGAAGTGCACAGTTTCATAATTGCACAGCAACATCAGAAATAAGAACAAGATTAACAACTCAGGACAGAAAGCTAACACTAACACAGTTTCACAGTGGCACAAGTTTCATGTTTTCCACTGGTTAGGTGACTTCACATAGAACTGGTGGCTATATTTATAGTATAGAAGGTATAACAATTTGCAGAGGATTTTGTTGCTGAGGTTGAGATTTGTGCATGCTATTGGACTCTGCTTTCCAAAGATATGTCGGTACCTTAAGGCAGTGACAACTAGTGTTTCGTTTTCTTTCACAGTGTTTCAGGAAGGATTTGCATTTTGGCTTTTAATGGCCAAGGCCAGTCCACAGGATGTGGTCAGAAAACTGAAGATGGCAGCTGGAACAGTGTGATTGAAGTTTTTCTATTTTTAATATGCATTGCATGTACAAACAGTGGGAGTTTTGATCACACAGTGACAGCTTAATTTTTTTTATTATACCCTGTGGAATACCCTATATATAAAACTCCTAAATAATCCCCTTCTTTTATTAATTTTGGATCTGGGTAGTCACAAGAATTTTAATGCAAATACTTTGGTAATTCAGCCCCCCATGTGAAAAGTGGAAAGAAGGATTGTTTGTTGTCTTGTTGTTTATGGAGCTGCATCATCCTCACCATTGGACACCTTTTGCAAGTGTTTATGGAAATTTCTCAAAATAAGCCATGAATCGGATTTCTGGCAACAAGTTTTATAAAGTTTCTTTGGCAGACCTGTAATCTGGAAGACTGTCAGTTTATAATACAATTCATTTTATTCTATATTTAAAATATTTGATTATTTATTTATTGGTTTGATTTATATGCCGCCCTTCTCCAGAGACTCAGGGCGGCTTACAATGCGTTAAGCAATAGCCTTCATACTTTTGTATATACCTGCTTAGTAGGACTTTGCCCCCCCCCACTAAATTGTGTTCTTTTTTATACAAAGTCAGCTTATTGCCCCCACAATCCGGGTCCTCATTTTACCTACCTCGAAAGGATGGAAGACTGAGTCAACCTTGAGCCTGGTGAGATTTGAACTTGCAGTAATTGCAGGCAGCTGGTGTTACTTAACAGCACTTTAGTCTGCTGCGCTACCAAGAAATATTGACTAATATTTCTCATAGCTGTTTAAATGCCAATCCCAATGAACCATGTTCATATATTCAGGATTTTCTGTAGCTACCAAAATGAAAATAAGACCATAAAATTCAACAAAGAGATAAAAAATATGCTTATTGAAACCATTGAAAGTATAGCTGAAAAACATTCTTTGATCTATTAGAATATTAGTTGTGGAATAAAAATCAAGCATTTCTATCTCCCATTGCAAATTCCTTTATTTTGTAACTAATCACAAAATAAATCTGCTACAGGGATTCTCATGCAAAAATTATGTAATATCATAATCATCTGAAAACAATGTCCTTTTAAATATAATCTGTCATCTTTGATTTAAAAATCCTTTATAAAATCAAATAACAACAGAAGAACAAACTGTAGGTGTTGATAATTGTCTTTTTTTCTTGAAATTACCAAATTACAACATGAAAACATTTCCAGTGAGACATGTAATAGGTCATTTGCAGCTGCAGGCATTTTTTCTCCTTCAGGATGGGCTTGTTTAGTTTCTCTCACTTTCTGCCTGTGGCACTGTATAGTGAAATTCAGACATGTTCTTCCCCTCCAGGGAATCTCTAGGGTTGAGGATAATTTATACAAAATTAATAAAAAGTGCTGCTTTTCCATTATAAACATTCCAATGGTATTGCTATAAAATTTCTTTCAATAAAAGAATATTATCTAGAAAACGTATGTAATATGAAAGCAATATCCCTGCTTTCAAATTTAGAAAGTAAGTGTAGCTTATGGAGAGGGAATTTATGATTAAGAGACATTACAGATGATTCTGAAGCCCAGGGAGTGAAGTTCACTGAATAATAATGTTGAAAATGTAAGAAATGTTTGGACAGTAGTCATACTAAGGAAAATATTCTCAAAGTGTAGTGACTTAGCAAGGTGATTACCAAATCTCAAATCTATCTATCAACTTTGGATAAAATAAATTTTCTATTTGTATCTAAATGCTAAATTATACTTGCCCAAATGTATTTATGAAATAAAGATTCCATAACTCTTAACTATAATCACCTAAGATTTGAACCACATTACTATGAATTGTCATAATTACTGTTAGAAAATCTTGGCATTGAAGCATTCTGAAAAGAGTTCTGGGAACTCTTTTTCAACCAACATTATATTTTCAGGAGGGGTACTTGTTTTAATGTAAAAAAAAAGTAAACATAAATAAATAGCTAGATCATTTGAAGTTTATAAAGTTATATTGTAACTGATGTTGATTTCTTTGTCTAGAAAAAAAACAGTTAATATTTTAAGTTGATTAAATGCCAGGTTGGTAAATAGTAAGACTGCCCTTAGCTTTCCTGGATGGGCTTGGTCATAATCAGAAATCCAGAAAATTGAGCCAAAATGTAGTCAATTACAGTCAGAGGGTCAGAGTATTGTTGTGAAATCATCAACTGGTGTGGTTTAAAAAGGAGCAGAGGGTTTCTGGTGAATGGAACAATTGTTCCAAATAGGGAATTCTGGGCAGGAAAGCTTTTAAATGGAATTTGCATCAGGGCACCTTTGCCATGTAAGAAACCTCACAGATCTCTTCTGTTCTAATGCTTTAGTCCTGGACCAACCCACCCACCCCATGTACTGTAGCTCCCAGGTGATGTTGAATGTTTCACCCATGAACTCATGTCAATCTCTGGGAGTCTGAGCCAGCCATCACAAGCAAAGGTTTAGCTACAGCTTTAGAAAATTCTGGAAGAAATGAACTATCTGTACTCTTCAATCAGAGTTCATGCTGGGCCGTAGCCCTAAGACAACATTGATTTCTCTAGCAGAGCAGGAATAGGGTGGTGCATCCTTTCTCTCCTTAATTTCCCAGTGGTTCTCAATATTACTGACATGGTATCCTTTTGGAATGGCTTTAGGAATTGACTCGGGGGGGATATGGTGTTGCGTTGGATCTCCCTTTTCTCCAAGTTTCAGTTGATATTGATGGAGAACAAATTGAACCCCAAATCCTTGATCTTTTGGTTGCCACAGAACCTGATTTTCTTGCCTCTCCTATTTAACACCTATATGAAGCCACTAGGTGAACACATCTGTCAGCAAAGGAGCAGGAGCCATCAGTATACTTGTAATACCTAGCGATATATCTCAACCCAGGCTGTATGAGTAATTCTCTAGTGTGCTGCTTGGAGAATCCAAGAGCGTGGGTAGTTTCCCTCAGTTAGGCTGATACTGAGTGCATATATCTTTAAATAAATCGTTGACTCCGCCTCCAGGTACTGGCTGAGGCCCAGTTCCTTTCACTCAGTCAGGCTAGATAGACTGCATTTTTGTTCTCCTGTCAGTTTTCCTCAAAACGATAGATTCTTCATATTTCACCTTTGGGTTTCTTCAAACCTCCATTTTTTTTGTTTTTTTTTCCTGTTGGAGCTGTATACTTTGGATTGACAAGCCTTGTGAGTCTGATTATTTCCTTGGCTGCCGGTGGGGTTGTGTCGGCCCTGGGGCTCTAGGCCACCTGCCACCACTCGGTTTATATTGTGACGAAACCACAGAGCTCTGCATCGGCATCTCTGTGTGTGATTGCCTTCACCGCCGGTGAGCGCCTTGGTTGCCCGGCTTGCCGGCATAACTGCCACCACCAACAGCTCCACAGTTACCTTGGGCAGCTTCGGAGTCCCTGCCCGGTGCTCCGCGGCATACTCTGCACCTAATTTCACGCTTCGCTGCGCTAGGAACACTTTTGAGTGTTTGTGCGCTCGGCTCTCCGGCAGAATCACGAAGGCGCTTTGAGGCGGTTTCCCGCGCTCGTGCCATTTTGTTTTTGATTGTCGGCCCACGAAGGCGCTGGGAGGATTTCTTCGCGCACCAGGACTTTGCTAACTGCCGAGCCGCCGCCACACAGCTGAGCCGGCCGGCTCTTGTGCCATTATAAGGTGCCTGCGAAGCAGCGTGACTGGAAGGGGGATTCTCTCTAGCGCTATCTGATTCTCTGCCATTTTGTGTCTGGACATTATTAGCTGATTCCTTCTGGACTTTTGTGTGTGTGTGTGTGGACGCTTTGCTCTGTCAGCGCCTGGCCTCATTGCTTCTCTTCGGACGCTTGTGCTTCCAGCGCCAGAGTCGGTTCTTCATAATTGTGTGGTCCGTGTGGGGGCAGCGCCATATACAGGTCATACTTGAACTGCGCTCCCCCCCCTTTAAAAAAAAGGGATTTTACTATGGGTGATTCAGAGCTTTCCTCTGATCTTGAGCAGGCCCATAGTCCCCCCCAAGGCCCAAACGCCTGTACCATCTACAAGCAAGGGGTCTAACAAACGGTCCAAACAAGCTTCTGACACTGTCAAGCCTCCAGCTTCACGGGGCCACAAAACCTCATCAGCCGATGATAAAGCTGCCAAGCGGAGACATGATGCCTTAGAATGCTGCTTTGACCAGGCACAGCGCAAGGCTCAACCGGCTGCTCAACAAGTGGCCCCACCTGTTGCGGTGTCCATTCCACCGGACCCTTCGGGCCCTCAGCCCCCTACTATAATGCTTCAGGGGGATTCCGCTGGGGTAATTCTTGTTTCCCAAATGGAAGCTTGTAGTCAGCAGGGGGATTTGGTCTCGCTATTGACAATATCTGTGGTGGGTCCATCAACCCAGTCTCCTTTACATCATCCCGCACCGGAGGCCACTTTCATCCCCACTGCTGCAGGGCTCCACACTGGGGAAGGGCCGCAACCGCCCTTTTACTGCGATCTTCAGGCGATGATTTCTGCGACCGTCTCCAGGATGCTGGCAGCTGGACTCCCTCAAGGGGCCCAACCAGCCCCCTGCTCTGCAGCCACCCGCCCTCTAGCCCCACCACGTGGCGAGGTCAAATGTAGTAACTACTCCCTACAGGAATCCATTCACAGCGAGGATTCCCTGTTTGATGACGATGAGAACAGAGACATGGAGTTCTCAGATGATGAGGGCATGTTGCCAGATAAACCAACATTTACGGGTCTTTTCAGGCCCTCTCTATTCAAATCCTTACTCTACAAAGCCATTGCTACGACTTAGCTGGCCGCCGTCAAGCTTAGCCTGAACAACAAGGAGACCCTAGCCCTCATGATGCCCTGTTTGTGGTGCCCAAGGCGGAACAGGAGTTTACCCCTTGTCCGCAGCTTTTCTCGGAAATAATTCAGCGGCCTTGGACCCAACCCGGGTCTTTGGTGGCACCAAATGGCCTCGACAAGAAGCTGTTCTGCTCGGCACCGAATCTCCAGGACTTACTTGCGTTGCCGTCAGTGGACGTGCCGGTTGCTGCCTTAACCTCCTCCATGATCCTCTCTAATGACATCGTGGACGGACTACATTCAGAGGATAGGAAGGCAGAACTTGTTTTCCGCAAATCTCACCAAGTGGCAGCCTGGGCCGTTCGAGCCACTACATCCGCCTCCTTTTTCAATCGGGCTTCGCTGATCTGGCTCCGCCAGCTTCAGGCTCCCTCCCGACGATAGACGCCTCCATCAAAACATTAATAAATTGGTGGCCGCTATGGAATATTCGGCCGATGCAGCCCTGGCCGCGGCCAAATTCACCTCTCGTTCCTTAGTCTCCACTGTTACTTCTCGCCGCCTCTTATGGCTCCGACATTGGAGGGTGGATATGAAATCCAAATGGAGACTTGCCTCTGCCCCATATAAGGGAGGCATTAGACCCTATCCTCATAGAGGACAAGGACAAACAAAATGTTATGCCCTTTTTTTACCGTAGAGCAGATCGCCGCTATTCCCCATATGCCCAGCAGCAGCCCTTTTGGACTGACTCTGGGACCAGTGGGTCCACCACTTACTGCCCATCATCTTTCATCTTCGACTGACCCTCCGACCGGCCTGCCTTTCAGGACTGCGGCAGACGCCAACAGCCCGCCAAGCGCCCCTTTCGAGGAACGGGCAATCGTTCCTTTAGACGTGGCAAATGACTGCATCACTCCGTATCCCATTGGCGGCCGTCTCGCTCACTTCCTTCGCCAATGGGAGCTCTCTACAACAGACACATGGTTCCTCCAAACGATGCGCCTGGGCCTCACCCTGGAATTCTTCTCCAGCCCTCCCAACCGCTTCGTCCAGTGCCCCATCTCGGACATCAAGAGGTGCTTGATGTCCGCGGAAATCCAGCACCTTCTGGACATCTGCGCTATAGAGCCGGTTTCCACAGAATACCGTGGGACCGGTTTCTACTCAATATTTTTCCTCGTTCCAAAAAGTTCCGGGGGCTGGAGGGGGATATTGGATCTAAAGGAATTAAACAAGCTGATTACATACCATCAATTCAAGATGCAGTCACTCAAATCGATCATGGGTTGCATCAGGCAGTCGGATATGATGACCTCAGTAGACCTCAAAGAGGCCTACCTCCACATACCGATTCGGCCATCCCACCAAAGGTTCCTGCGCTTATTTTATGCCAACCAGCATTTTCAATACAGGGCCATGCCATTCGGGCTCTCATCGGCCCCCCGAACCTTCACGAAGATCCTTGCAGCAATTGCAGCCTCTCTCTGACTCATTCCCATCAGAGTCCTTTGCTACTTGGACAACATCCTTGTCGTCATCTTCCCATCAGCAAGCGCTCAGGG